ACACACCACACATATATGCAAACTGTACACACAAACTCGCGGATCATGTCTTGATGGAATTCCTCTGAAGAATCGCAGGACTTACACCAGTACGCCTACAACCCTTCTCAGGTTGACGCTCCCGTTTGGAAAATCATCGCAGAGTTCATTTTCTGACTTCCCTATATCAGCCATATCCTCAAATCTGAATGGCAACAGGCTCATGTCATTGTATCGTAGAATATAGATGACGAACAAACACGCGACGTTTCTGGTCAACCAAGCGTAGAAGCAGAGTAATTTACACCAAAGATGATAGCATTTAAATAGTAACTTGAAACTAGAAATGCCTTTATTCGTGCAAATCAATTTAACAATTACTCTCTCGTTTACACTTGGCTTATCCTCTCTAGACTGACCAATATCTTTCGTCCTTTCAAATGCACCAATACTATCAAAGACATTGCACAAGATACTTGAGTTGATGGGCGTCTGTTTCATCGTGGATGACAACACCAACGACGACTGATTGATACCAGTTGATGAACTTAGCGGTGGATCAGAAGCTGTTGTTGCTCGGCTTTCAGAAATTCGTCTACCTGCAAGACCACCACCACTGCTGTCTTTTACTATCAGCTCAGGTTTAGCACTAGCATATGATGATAGGCGGGCTACATGCTGATCACTCACACTGACGGTCTCACAAGTATGCATGCCTTCTGCAACTGCATCTGCATTTATTTCTACTTCACGTTCAAGTTGTACAGAACCTTTGTTCAACTTAGCAGTAGTAGGCATATCCCTCATCTCATCATGATCAACCAAAGACAAATGTGAAGTATCATGATCATTATCACGAATATTCACTCTACCGTCAACTTCATCATTTTGAAACCCTTTAATAACAGAAGTAGACAATTTTGGTTCCTCCTCGCAAATCCTAAAAGGTTTTATAACTTCACTCTGACTAGTAATACCTTGTAAACTTGTGGAGCCAGTACCGGACTCTGAGAGTGTTATTCTCTTCTGTGGCATACTATTCAACAATGGCTTACCAGTTGCAACTACAGACTTCTTGACCACACCGTTATCGTCACACAATTCGGAGTGAGAACTTGATTTCACATTTAGCTTATCACTGAACTTGCTCACTGATTCACAGCTCACCTTTGTATGCACCTCTTGCAAACGTGTACAACACAAGTGTGTTTGTCTTGCATCTTGCAACTTATCTGTTGAGGATGTACCACGAAAGCTGTTACACTCACTAGATCTATATTCATTACTAGACATCATGGAGCCTTCTCGATATCCACCTCTCTGAGGCCTACTCGTCATCAATGATTGCGTTTTACCCTCATACTGCTCTATTCTAGGGGTGAGATTCAATATACTGGCAAACTTGCTCATAGATTGATTGACACTATCTTTTACTAGTTTCAGGATATCATCAAATTTTGGCTCGATACCCTCATCCTCCATACGGGAGCATATCTTCACCCACTTCCTTTGCAGTCGAGTAGGTAGGCGTCTCGCTATTACTTCTAGTATAAAACTCGAGTTGAGGTCATTCATGGAATTCATAGATACGAATATCTCTTTACTTTCGAATCAGGTGCCGCTTTTGCACGTGTTTTCGTTATATTCATTTATTGGTTACTAATAATTGATCTTTACACTTGTATGGTTTTGTCAACATTTTCATCGTAACATCACAAGGGAATTTTACTTAATGTAGACCAACAATAATGATGGTTTATATTTTCTTATAAATGAGTGCTTTGTAAAAATGAAAGCTATTTTTACAGACAAGATCAGTTATGTTATAAGTTACAATCATGAGATATTATAAATCGATACTTTTTCACTGGTATAAGGGTATTTTCCACAACTGTAATCCAGGTTGCGTCGTGGGGAAGGTTAATTCGTTATTAACTAGGCAACTGAAAGATACGGGACCAATAATGTTTGCAGATCATTTGTCATTGTAAATGGTCAAATATTCACATTATTCATTCTCATTCAAAAAGTCAAATGGAAGCTAAAACGGTGAGAGAAAAAGACAAACAACAACAAAACAAAAGAAAGCAAGAGGAGTCCTTAAGGAGTGATTAATCAATATACACATATATATTCAGTTTAGTAACTATGGTTTTTTGGTACACTAACTAACTAGTCCCGTTATGCTACCTTTCATATTATGTGTGAACTAATATTACTGTCCTGTGTAGAAATGTTTATCATCTAGTTCCAATAATATTAAAGTGTATAATTGTAATTTGTTGTAATTTACACATTTAATGAACTAAAAATATTTATGTAGGGGGAAAAAGAGGGTATAAGAGTCAGACGTAGAAGTGCATCGTCATCTTTGGCAGTCTGGTGACTGAGGAGATGAACATCGGAAGTGTGTTTGCATCGCGCACATTAGCTGGTAGTCTATTCCAAATGACTGAAAACTTATCTAAGAAGAAGTTGTACCTCATGTAAGTCTGACAATGCTCTAAAGCAGCTAGTTTGTGATGATTTCTAAGATTGTAACTGATGACAGCGGTAGGTTTAGTTATTGGCTCGGAGGAATGCAAGAGAAGATTAGTTAGCTTATAGTAAAAGATAAGGTTTAGCTTAAGGCGTCCTTTCCAGAGTGGTTCTAATTTTAGCCTGTCGCATCCCTCATGGTATTCCAGATCACTTTCTAAACCAAGAGTTCTTGAGGTAAACTGTCGTTGCACTCCCTGTAATTTAAGCTTGTCATTTTGTCTGAGTCCGCTAAGAATAAACGGGCAGTATTCTAAGATAGGTCGGACACATACTTTGTATAATAAAACCCTAGTTTCACAACAAAAGAAATTGCGTGTTGTGCACCCTAGAAGCCTTCTTGTTTTACGTCTGGCATAATCAGTCTGTTCAGCGAACGTTAGGTTACTAGAGTATCTAATACCGACATCTAAGACTGAGTTGAGCGCGGCTAGTTTTCCCCCATTTATTTCAAGAGTTAGGTCAAGGCTAACGTTGCCGATACAAATCCAGCCGCATTTGTCAATGTTAAAATTTAGACAGGAATCAGCACACCATGTTGCGAGACTACTCAGTTGTAGTAATTTATTGTAATTGAAATATTAGTATTTCGAGATGACTGAATTACACGAATCCAACCAAAACTCAGAGAGGGCAGCAATCAGGAATTTGTATTTAGCGGAATTCTTATGCAATTTATATATGAAACATATCAACAGTCAACAGTAAGTATTTTAAACAATACAGAGATAGAAATTGTCAATCACCACATCCGCCACACCTCGAATATCTCCTTGCGTATTTATATGCACGGAATGTGGCGACTTGAACTCCCGCACATTTGTGCAAAGTTCTATGTCGAAAACAGACAGACAGACAATTAGTATTGAATGTTACTCAATGCTCATCAAAACAAATCAATCGTTATGACATTTAAGGTCTTAGGATAACCGAATTATACTAGGTGTTTATTACAGGTGAAAATATACACATGGCTTAAAACTATCAGCGACATTTATTGTCGTGTAACGGTTGGTGCTACTAACCACCAGTTGCTCAGTTCGGAGTAGGTGAAGTGAAACTCCTAAAGTAACTTTTAATGTCATTTGTACTGTGCAATTTTTCAACTTCAAAGATAGTAGGAATTACTGACGTCGGCAACTTTTTTATTCCTTTACGTTCCGAGTGGAACATAGGACTTCGAGCTATAGTTTTGAAGTTTCGGTAGTAGCGGTTGTTTGTCACCGGGTAGGGTGGCTGGTCTCACACCCAACCTTCCCCTCTTTACCAGCCTAATGAGTTCTAGGGGTGCGTCGGTCGGAAATGCTAGTGGCGGTCAAACCAAAACATGGCTTCACCAGTCAAGGAAATCTACAACAGTTAGTCTAAGCCATGCAGGAAGGTGTAGACTTCCTGGTTAGGGTCATTGGGACGGTAAAGACCAATGGTGGATGAAGACAATTGGTGATATGTCTCAAACTCATCGTTCTCAATGGCTAGCGCAAATGCATCCACTCCTTGTGACTTATGATTTTCAATGAAACTATACTGTTCTTCGTTACTACTATTTCTGTGTCTCACCCTTCTGTTTACTGTCCCTATTATGCATTTCTTCTATCTTCTTCTCTTGCTTTGTGTGCTACAAGGAGGGAGTGTGGTGACTTGAACTGTCGTACATATGTGTAAAGTTCTATGTCGAAAATAGACAGACAGACAGTCTGCCGGAAATCGAATACCGGACCACCTGAGTGGTTGGCGAGCATTCTACTGGCTGAACCACTGACTTAGGCATTTAGTTTTAACTAATAGACGTCGAATAACTCTCTAACAAAAAGTATAAGGAATCCGATAGTTTAGCTCATTTCATTATGTTGTTGCTGCTTTGTTTTGACAAACATTCATAATTACATCACTGGGGCGTCTAGTCATTAAACAAGGAAATAGTTGCTTACGTACGTTGTCTACCAGAACCACTTGTTAAAATAGCTTGGATGCTGGATAGCGGACAAACTTAGGGAGAAAACAAATGCACCTTAGTCGTCTCACGTGACTGAATGAGTTTTCAACATCGCATAAAAATGCGGTAGACCAACCTGTCTCACTATGGATAAGATTTTATTTCGATAAATCACACAGTGTTGTGCAGTTATATTAATTGATGACGTTTCGAGCACAAACTATTGCTCATATCATATCACTTAATATAACTGCACAACACTGTGTGATTCATCGAAATAAAATCTTATCCATAATGGACTTATACTCTACCATAGTGTCCAAGTTTTATACTTATATCAACCTGTCTCACACTCCATATTTACGAAACAAAGGTAGAGATCCAAAATCCATAAAAAACTATAGTGAAGAGCAATGTACTGAAGAAAGAATTACACGGAGTAGCCTGGGGACTTGATTCATCTGGGAGATTACAAGGAGTGGGAGCATCCCCGCCAATGGGAACTACTTTGAGCCAGAAAGCATTAACAGTCGTAAACCATTGGTTCCTGGCATTCTGAGAACGCCACTCTGGCAGTCAAAACCTGTCTGAGTGGCTCGGACTGAAAGTCAAGGACTTCATGGTTTGATGCAAGACCTTGATTAAATTACCATCAACTCTTTTCCAACCTAATCCTATGTCAGCTAACTTTGTAAAGTATGCATAGGCCAGTTGTTCTTCGGTGGCACAGTGGTCAGGACTCTCGCCTACCATGCACATGGACCGGGGTTCGATCCCCTGCCGACGCACACATGATATCAATGGTCGGCCTGCAAAATTTGGACTACTGATATCACACGCTGAAAATTCCATGTTTGTACCAAAAACGGTGTGGAATCAAGCTGTAATTTAAAAAAAAATAGAAAAAAATTCCGTGTGTGATTTTGTGTACTTGGCGAGTGCCATATTTGTTTAAGGATTATTAATATAACATGGGGGGGGGGATAAAATCTCGCAGAATCAAGCTGTGTGGATGTTAAGTATCAACATCCACAGGCTATAGCCAAAAAAGCGTTGGAAATGAAGTAATTGTTCAATTTTTTAATTCTTGTTTTGTTTTGGCAACCAAGTTTGCTACTGAATTTTACAACTTCTCATTCAAATGAAACTTACCGTTTTACTAAAATGCGAATAGGATTAGTCATGAATTTTGATGTCATTTCTAATATCTCGTGTGGCATTGTGGCTGAAAGGAGAACCACTTGTGTTCCAGGCGGTAAATATCGATAAACATCATAGATTTGTTCTTTGAAACCTTTGTCTAACATTTCATCGGCTTCATCGAGAACAAACAATTTGACTGCTCTTGTCCGTAAACTACGACGACGTATCATATCTGCAACGTTAAAAACATTAACAAAAATAAGAGATTATTTTTAAATTATTTGAACTAGGAGTATTTTTTTCTCTCAGCAGAAATAAAATTGATTACATCGTGGACATTATAGTGTCTCTAACAATCACAATTATCAGTAGAGTACCCTATGCATGTAAGAGAGGAAACTAATTGGAGAAGCATACAGGAAATCAGAGAGCATCAGTTAAGTATTCACAGGTTACTTATTCTTGTTATTGTATTTTTATCAAATATATATTCAGGTTACTTAGCACACACACGTATTTGTAAAGCTGTGGTTCACACTGGTCTAGGCCCTTGACTACCGACGAGTAAGTCAACGGTTCGAATCCAGCCTGATCCACCTACCAAGGTTTGGACAGGCGGCAGTTGGTATCATCAGCCTTTACAAAACAAGTATAACTCATGTCCATCTGCACGGATATGCAAGTGGTTGTTGAGTAAGTTTTCTTTTTGAACACACCTGCTGTTTTAATGTCTTTCTCTGTCTGTCTGATTCTACGAATGTTCTATTTCCCTAAGCCTGAGGTCTGCAACTTATTTAGCGTCTAGGAGGATTTCCCGCTTCTCCAACGGTATTCCAATCAAGATTTCAAAGAAATACACTTGAAAAAAGAAATATCTTTATTTCGTTCTCATTATTTTTATTTAGAGAGCTAAATGTTGGAATAGATATTACTGCTCTACAAAGAATAGGTTACAAGTAGGAAAGTTTGCATTCGTACAAATGTCAATAAAAGCACTGTTAACAGTCGACTGAGCGACGACACCTGTTGGTGGTGTGTTTCCAAATCGATAGCCGTCACCTTGGCGTCCCAGTCAGGCTTGCATATCACAATGACCCAATAAGTTAAATTACCTGGATCAAACGTTTCTACCATTCCAGAAAATTCTCTTGAACAACGGTTAGACTAAAAGCAGTTTCCTTTGTAGTGTAAGCATTTAGGGGGCGCATGCGTGTAACGATAGCATAGTGTTTCCCTAAGACGACCAGCAAGATAGGTAAACTGCCCTTCCTCTCTAGGGAGGGTGAGGGTAGAGAAGGTCAACAGCAAAAATTATACATTCCAAATTACCCTGTGGTGGTTCTCATTGGACGGAAAGGTCTTCATACGGACAACGCTAAACTGACTGTGTATGATCAGTCTCACTCAGCTGTCTACAGGCTGTACAATCACGCGAATCGAATGCTTTCTGTTTCAGATATTTCAAGAAATCAAATTTCATGGTGTGGGTGCCGGGAAGCATTAACTTCTGACATATTCCCATAAGAGTACACAGCTTATCTGATTACTATCTTCCAGGCAGGTGATGTATCTTCCTCAAAAATTAATACAAATCACTGACAATGAATGCGTCTCCAAAAAGTCTACAACTTAATGTGGTTCAAACCAACAGCTAACGACGTTATGGATTGATGTTATATTTTGGTTTGAGTAACTTCAGCTCTTTTCCAACATAATCCTAGTCCATTTAACGTTGCTTTTAATGGAAGGCATCGACTAGTCAACTCAATTATCAAAGCTCTATAGTCCCATCAATTGACCTAACCTTTTACACGAAACATTAACCATGTGTGGAGTGATACATAAACACTTAGTCAGAAACATACAATCTTTCCATAATTTGTATATCACACTGGCTCAATGAGATGAATGGGGAGAGCGACCATTTCTTAAAATACTGCATATTCAAAAAGTTCATTTGAATGGTAGCAAAACTAAAAGCAGATACCATAATAATGAAAAGTACTTGCACCAAAGTTTTAAAGCTGAATCATACGGCTAAGTAAAATGTAATTACAATAAGGTGTCTTCCTTGAATGATAACTGAGCTAAGATGAACTATAGGTGGAGATAAGATTTCTGATACGAACTATCATAGCTTGTTAGAAAATTGACAAATATAAATTTAACAAACATGTTAAGATAGGAATTACTGGTCCATTGACTAGCCCACTTATTTGAATTCATTGAATGGGAAAACCGGGATAAAATATATGAATGCACACCCTAACTTTGGCCTTAGGCTAAACTAGTGTTAGAAACCAGTTTCCACACCAAACTGTTACACTTCATTTTGTTGTCTTCACTTTTACAATAGGCTGACCAGTAAGCTGCATATCAAATCCCTGGTACTGATGTCAGTTTAAAGCATTCATAACTATCCTGTTAAGCTCCAAAAAGCTGTCTGGATGTTGGAAGCCTACAGTTCTAACTGCTCAGTAGAACGCAAAACTGAGTGTTCACGATCATACAGTGACTGGATGCAAAGTAATGCGCAGTAGTCGAACACAATCAACATATCGCGTAACATCAAATGTACTTACCGAATACACGACCTGGAGTCCCAGATATTACGTGCTGCCCATAGTCCAGCTTTCGGATATCTTCTCCAATATTAGTCCCACCGTAACAGGCATGACATTGAACATTCATATAATCACCTAACGCAAGAATTACTTTCTGTATTTGTGAAGCTAATTCGCGTGTTGGAGATAATATAAGAGCTTGAGTTTCTCGCAACTGTGTATCCAACATTTGTAAAATAGATATACCAAGCGTTGCTGTTTTCCCAGTTCCTGACTGAGCTCTGAGAAAAAGGTTATTTGAAGAAACACTTACTGAGCTATCACGTCTCGACCTTTTACTATCTGTTTTATGGCCCTTTGTTGGATAGCTGATGGCCGTTCAAAACCTATCAAAAAGCATAAATAATAATGGAAGATATTACCGTAAGCGTATATCCCACGTAACAGATCATCCCGAAGACACATTGAGTCGAACGATGGAATCACATCAATATTTTCCGATGTTTCAAACTCTACATTCGTTAAATCATCTTCGTTATGAATTCTTTTTGAAGATCTCTCCATAAGTCAGACTGTAAAGCGCTAAAAGAGGACATGCAAATTAACTGCTAAGCAAAAATATAGCAATAAAAAACTAAGACAATGGGGCTAAAGTCATATATTTGTACTAAAACTAAATACTATCAATATTTCCAGGGGTCTTGACCAGGTGGAATCTTCTTGTCGCGGTATAATGCTGTTTTACCCTTCAATCGATCATTGTCAGGAATTAGACGTATGAGTACATGAGCCGCTGTAATTCCTCCAAAGAACCCCAAGCCAAAAAGCACAGACTTCTGTATGTTACTCAACTTAGACGGACTGAACACTTTCATTCTTTAATTTCTGTGGGCCGATGTGCTACATTATCATAACAACTTACTTTGTATCTTTCGCAAGCTTTGTAATCACTGTATATAATATACGCTGTAAGACAAGGTGCAGATATTGAAATGAAGTTTCTGCGAAGTGATCTGGCAAAGCCAGAAAGGAGCATCTACGAACATAATGAGGGAAAAATAATACAACATGACATACCTATACAATCAAACAGCAAGATGTCAAGGTCAGTTGGAACTAGAGGGTTGGCGAGGTGTATAATGTCCAATATTCCAATCTCATGTATGTAATTGACTAGTAGCGTCTTTCCGTTTTTAATGGTTACTTTTCAGTAATTAAACTTACTCTTGATCTCTGACAAACAACGCTGACAGATCTATAAATATCACGCCCATACATATTCACCACGTTTGTCATTTGTCTTCGTCTTGCTGATGAATTCATGCCTGATCTTTCTCAACACTCCCTCTCCATATTTCATCCGGACACCCTGCATACCAGGAATTTTGTTATTTTAGAAGGCGTTTGGCCGTATATACTAAGAAGACAGTGCCGGCATGACTGGAGTTCACATCCAATCTAATTCCTTCGTCTGAGATATAAAATACAAATTAATAATAGTACATTTGTAGGGACAAACCCCAGGCGAAATCTAAGGCCGAACTACATATAAACATGAGTGATTTTTGAAGGCAGTTTGATAGAAGTCTTCCACTAAACGGGTAGGGACCGACATATTCAGTAATAGAAGCAATACCACTAACTATTATGGCATATACAAGGAGGTGTTAGTAGGTGTGTAACCCAGGCACATTAATGAGCGATTTATGTGAAGCTACCACCATAACTCATGGTAGGTTCGGTATAATAACAGTTTTCATGGATTTCCGATGTTGCTGACCTAGACCTAGCAGTACTCTGCATTGACTTCATTTAAAGGTATGACATACTAGCTAACCACAAGTGACATGTCAAGGAGGACGAATGTCATAGCAAGAGGAAACCGTTCACTAAATCCAATCCAGTCTTCGACAGTGTCGAAAGCAGGTATCTGGAACAAAATAATGAGATTTTCAACTACGACTGAGATCAACCCCAGAATGAATACTCGTAGAAATAGGAAATATGGTCAAAAGCAAACCAAAAGCAGCGAAGGTTAATTCAACTTAATGCGTTGGTTATCATAAAAAGCTAGAAGGCGTGCTGGTGGAATCCGCAACCGTAATATATCCTAATAGAGGTTCTCCTTTTTCATTAATTGTAGGTGTCAATGGAGTTGAAGATTGAACGATCAATTCACGGTTGTTTTGCTCAAATCCAACTTCACCAATTTTGCGGAGGCATCAATACGACAGTCATCGTCTCATTGGTCGCTGTTCAGAAAGAAGTCAGCAGAAAACCGTCAGAAGTAAAATTGTGATTTATTATTGTAATATTTGTTCACAGACCCTAGTAAAACCATTATTTTTATATATATGTGTAACAATAAAAAATTCCAAAGCGGCCAATCGGTGTTTTGGTTTTTTCGTCCGTTATTACTAAGCGTTTCTGAAAACCTGCAAGGAACAGCGTGAGCCCGAGCGTAGCAAGAGCTGGGCATTAACGGTTTACGAGACGTGGCTGACAGTTTCTGATGGTAGAAACAGATTATGGCGGATTCAGACAGTTGGTGAAAGCTTGGATAGTCACCGTTCATCTTTCCTGGTGCCGGTCAAGTCCTCTTTGAACAAGCAATATCTGGAACGATTTTGGAATTGGGTCAAGTTCGACAATGCCTGGGTCAAAGAAGGGACAGAGTGTCTTGGATGCAAACAGGAAAGTAAGTCATGGTGACTTGTCTGTTACTTGTAACGATGTGTCTGATGTTAAGGATGACATGGTTGATGTTACTGTTTCGCCGTTCAGGGATAATAGGAACATCAAACTCCCTAAATTTGAACCACGGTGTTTCGATGGAAACCCGGCTGATCATTTACAATTTGTAAAGGAGTTTGAGATCATGTTGAGTAGTTTCCTATTAACTGATGAAATGAAGTTAATGTATTTGATGAGATATTGCACTGGAGATGCTTCAAGAGCTATACAGTGCTGTAAGCTCATGCCCCCTAATGAGGGATACGCTGAGGCTATGAGCATATTACGTCAAATGTTTGGAAGACCTTCAATGATTGTAAGGAACGTATACGAAGCTGTCAAAGGTCACGGCCGTCTGCTGTCTCTAACATCAATCAATTCATTCACGGATGTAGAAGACTCGAAACAACTTCAGAAGAAATCACGACGAAAATTTTAACAAAATTACGCACTAACAACAAGATACGAAAACAACAAGTAAACACAATGAATCCAAAAAACACCAATTGATATGACACACCACACGTATACACAAACAGTACAAATAACCTCGCGGATCATGTCTTGGTGGAATTCCTTTGAAGAATCGCAGGACTTACACCAGTACGCCTACAAGCCTTCACTCGCTGACGATTGAAAGATGTGGAATGTCCGGACACATACAAGATTAACCATATATCAGCTCAGGTTTAGCACTAGCATATGATGATAGGTGGGCTACATGCTGATCACTCACACTGACGGTCTCACAAGTATGCATGCCTTCTGCAACTGCATCTGCATTTATTTCTACTTCACGTTCAAGTTGTACAGAACCTTTGTTCAACTTAGCAGTAGTAGGCATATACCTCATCTCATCATGATCAACCAAAGACAAATGTGAAGTATCATGATCATTATCACGAATATTCACTCTACCGTCAACTTCATCATTTTCAAACTCTTTGTTAACAGAAGTAGACAATTTTGGTTCCTCCTCGCAAATCCCAAAACGTTTTATAACTTCACTCTGACTAGTTATACTTTGTAAACTTATGGAGTCAGAACTGCACTCTGAAGCAGCAACTCTATTCTGTGACACTCTATTCAACAATGGCTTACCAGTTGCAACTACAGACTTCTTGACCACACCGTTATCGTCACACAATTTGGAGTGAGAACTTGATTTCACATTTAGCTTATCACTGAACTTGCTCACTGATTCACAGCTCACCTTTGTATGCACCTCTTGCAAACGTGTACAACACAAGTGTGTTTGTCTTGCATCTTGCAACTTATCTGTTGAGGATGTACCACGAAAGCTGTTACACTCACTAGATCTATATTCATTACTAGACATCATGGAGCCTTCTCGATATCCACCTCTCTGAGGCCTACTCGTCATCAATGATTGCGTTATACCCTCATACTGCTCTATTCTAGGGGTGAGATTCAATATACTGGCAAACTTGCTCATAGATTGATTGACACTATCTTTTACTAGTTTCAGGATATCATCAAATTTTGGCTCGATACCCTCATCCTCCATACGGGAGCTTATCTTCACCTACTTCCTTTGCAGTCGAGTAGGTGGGCGTCTTGCTATTACTTCTAGTATAAAACTCGAGTTGAGGTCACTCATGCAATTCATCGAAATCAAGTTATTCTTATAAGTCATAAGATTATCTGAAAACTCAGTAAGTGCCTTGAAGTCATCTTGAAGTTGACGGCCGTGACCTTTGACAGCTTCGTATACGTTCCTTACAATCATTGAAGGTCTTCCAAACATTTGACGTAATATGCTCATAGCCTCAGCGTATCCCTCATTAGGGGGCATGAGCTTACAGCACTGTATAGCTCTTGAAGCATCTCCAGTGCAATATCTCATCAAATACATTAACTTCATTTCATCAGTTAATAGGAAACTACTCAACATGATCTCAAACTCCTTTACAAATTGTAAATGATCAGCCGGGTTTCCATCGAAACACCGTGGTTCAAATTTAGGGAGTTTGATGTTCCTATTATCCCTGAACGGCGAAACAGTAACATCAACCATGTCATCCTTAACATCAGACACATCGTTACAAGTAACAGACAAGTCACCATGACTTACTTTCCTGTTTGCATCCAAGACACTCTGTCCCTTCTTTGACCCAGGCATTGTCGAACTTGACCCAATTCCAAAATCGTTCCAGATATTGCTTGTTCAAAGAGGACTTGACCGGCACCAGGAAAGATGAACGGTGACTATCCAAGCTTTCACCAACTGTCTGAATCCGCCATAATCTGTTTCTACCATCAGAAACTGTCAGCCACGTCTCGTAAACCGTTAATGCCCAGCTCTTGCTACGCTCGGGCTCACGCTGTTCCTTGCAGGTTTTCAGAAACGCTTAGTAATAACGGACGAAAAAACCAAAACACCGATTGGCCGCTTTGGAATTTTTTATTGTTACACATATATATAAAAATAATGGTTTTACTAGGGTCTGTGAACAAATATTACAATAATAAATCACAATTTTACTTCTGACGGTTTTCTGCTGACTTCTTTCTGAACAGCGACCAATGAGACGATGACTGTCGTATTGATGCCTCCGCAAAATTGGTGAAGTTGGATTTGAGCAAAACAACCGTGAATTGATCGTTCAATCTTCAACTCCATTGACACCTACAATTAATGAAAAAGGAGAACCTCTATTAGGATATATTACGGTTGCGGATTCCACCAGCACGCCTTCTAGCTTTTTATGATAACCAACGCATTAAGTTGAATTAACCTTCGCTGCTTTTGGTTTGCTTTTGACCATATTTCCTATTTCTACGAGTATTCATTCTGGGGTTGATCTCAGTCGTAGTTGAAAATCTCATTATTTTGTTCCAGATACCTGCTTTCGACACTGTCGAAGACTGGATTGGATTTAGTGAACGGTTTCCTCTTGCTATGACATTCGTCCTCCTTGACATGTCACTTGTGGTTAGCTAGTATGTCATACCTTTAAATGAAGTCAATGCAGAGTACTGCTAGGTCTAGGTCAGCAACATCGGAAATCCATGAAAACTGTTATTATACCGAACCTACCATGAGTTATGGTGGTAGCTTCACATAAATCGCTCATTAATGTGCCTGGGTTACACACCTACTAACACCTCCTTGTATATGCCATAATAGTTAGTGGTATTGCTTCTATTACTGAATATGTCGGTCCCTACCCGTTTAGTGGAAGACTTCTATCAAACTGCCTTCAAAAATCACTCATGTTTATATGTAGTTCGGCCTTAGATTTCGCCTGGGGTTTGTCCCTACAAATGTACTATTATTAATTTGTATTTTATATCTCAGACGAAGGAATTAGATTGGATGTGAACTCCAGTCATGCCGGCACTGTCTTCTTAGTATATACGGCCAAACGCCTTCTAAAATAACAAAATTCCTGGTATGCAGGGTGTCCGGATGAAATATGGAGAGGGAGTGTTGAGAAAGATCAGGCATGAATTCATCAGCAAGACGAAGACAAATGACAAACGTGGTGAATATGTATGGGCGTGATATTTATAGATCTGTCAGCGTTGTTTGTCAGAGATCAAGAGTAAGTTTAATTACTGAAAAGTAACCATTAAAAACGGAAAGACGCTACTAGTCAATTACATACATGAGATTGGAATATTGGACATTATACACCTCGCCAACCCTCTAGTTCCAACTGACCTTGACATCTTGCTGTTTGATTGTATAGGTATGTCATGTTGTATTATTTTTCCCTCATTATGTTCGTAGATGCTCCTTTCTGGCTTTGCCAGATCACTTCGCAGAAACTTCATTTCAATATCTGCACCTTGTCTTACAGCGTATATTATATACAGTGATTACAAAGCTTGCGAAAGATACAAAGTAAGTTGTTATGATAATGTAGCACATCGGCCCACAGAAATTAAAGAATGAAAGTGTTCAGTCCGTCTAAGTTGAGTAACATACAGAAGTCTGTGCTTTTTGGCTTGGGGTTCTTTGGAGGAATTACAGCGGCTCATGTACTCATACGTCTAATTCCTGACAATGATCGATTGAAGGGTAAAACAGCATTATACCGCGACAAGAAGATTCCACCTGGTCAAGACCCCTGGAAATATTGATAGTATTTAGTTTTAGTACAAATATATGACTTTAGCCCCATTGTCTTAGTTTTTTATTGCTATATTTTTGCTTAGCAGTTAATTTGCATGTCCTCTTTTAGCGCTTTACAGTCTGACTTATGGAGAGATCTTCAAAAAGAATTCATAACGAAGATGATTTAACGAATGTAGAGTTTGAAACATCGGAAAATATTGATGTGATTCCATCGTTCGACTCAATGTGTCTTCGGGATGATCTGTTACGTGGGATATACGCTTACGGTAATATCTTCCATTATTATTTATGCTTTTTGATAGGTTTTGAACGGCCATCAGCTATCCAACAAAGGGCCATAAAACAGATAGTAAAAGGTCGAGACGTGATAGCTCAGTAAGTGTTTCTTCAAATAACCTTTTTCTCAGAGCTCAGTCAGGAACTGGGAAAACAGCAACGCTTGGTATATCTATTTTACAAATGTTGGATACACAGTTGCGAGAAACTCAAGCTCTTATATTATCTCCAACACGCGAATTAGCTTCACAAATACAGAAAGTAATTCTTGCGTTAGGTGATTATATGAATGTTCAATGTCATGCCTGTTACGGTGGGACTAATATTGGAGAAGATATCCGAAAGCTGGACTATGGGCAGCACGTAATATCTGGGACTCCAGGTCGTGTATTCGGTAAGTACATTTGATGTTACGCGATATGTTGATTGTGTTCGACTACTGCGCATTACTTTGCATCCAGTCACTGTATGATCGTGAACACTCAGTTTTGCGTTCTACTGAGCAGTTAGAACTGTAGGCTTCCAACATCCAGACAGCTTTTTGGAGCTTAACAGGATAGTTATGAATGCTTTAAACTGACATCAGTACCAGGGATTTGATATGCAGCTTACTGGTCAGCCTATTGTAAAAGTGAAGACAACAAAATGAAGTGTAACAGTTTGGTGTGGAAACTGGTTTCTAACACTAGTTTAGCCTAAGGCCAAAGTTAGGGTGTGCATTCATATATTTTATCCCGGTTTTCCCATTCAATGAATTCAAATAAGTGGGCTAGTCAATGGACCAGTAATTCCTATCTTAACATGTTTGTTAAATTTATATTTGTCAATTTTCTAACAAGCTATGATAGTTCGTATCAGAAATCTTATCTCCACCTATAGTTCATCTTAGCTCAGTTATCATTCAAGGAAGACACCTTATTGTAATTACATTTTACTTAGCCGTATGATTCAGCTTTAAAACTTTGGTGCAAGTACTTTTCATTATTATGGTATCTGCTTTTAGTTTTGCTACCATTCAAATGAACTTTTTGAATATGCAGTATTTTAAGAAATGGTCGCTCTCCCCATTCATCTCATTGAGCCAGTGTGATATACAAATTATGGAAAGATTGTATGTTTCTGACTAAGTGTTTATGTATCACTCCACACATGGTTAATGTTTCGTGTAAAAGGTTAGGTCAATTGATGGGACTATAGAGCTTTGATAATTGAGTTGACTAGTCGATGCCTTCCATTAAAAGCAACGTTAAATGGACTAGGATTATGTTGGAAAAGAGCTGAAGTTACTCAAACCAAAATATAACATCAATCCATAACGTCGTTAGCTGTTGGTTTGAACCACATTAAGTTGTAGACTTTTTGGAGACGCATTCATTGTCAGTGATTTGTATTAATTTTTGAGGAAGATACATCACCTGCCTGGAAGATAGTAATCAGATAAGCTGTGTACTCTTATGGGAATATGTCAGAAGTTAATGCTTCCCGGCACCCACACCATGAAATTTGATTTCTTGAAATATCTGAAACAGAAAGCATTCGATTCGCGTGATTGTACAGCCTGTAGACAGCTGAGTGAGACTGATCATACACAGTCAGTTTAGCGTTGTCCGTATGAAGACCTTTCCGTCCAATGAGAACCACCACAGGGTAATTTGGAATGTATAATTTTTGCTGTTGACCTTCTCTACCCTCACCCTCCCTAGAGAGGAAGGGCAGTTTACCTATCTTGCTGGTCGTCTTAGGGAAACACTATGCTATCGTTACACGCATGCGCCCCCTAAATGCTTACACTACAAAGGAAACTGCTTTTAGTCTAACCGTTGTTCAAGAGAATTTTCTGGAATGGTAGAAACGTTTGATCCAGGTAATTTAACTTATTGGGTCATTGTGATATGCAAGCCTGACTGGGACGCCAAGGTGACGGCTATCGATTTGGAAACACACCACCAACAGGTGTCGTCGCTCAGTCGACTGTTAACAGTGCTTTTATTGACATTTGTACGAATGCAAACTTTCCTACTTGTAACCTATTCTTTGTAGAGCAGTAATATCTATTCCAACATTTAGCTCTCTAAATAAAAATAATGAGAACGAAATAAAGATATTTCTTTTTTCAAGTGTATTTCTTTGAAATCTTGATTGGAATACCGTTGGAGAAGCGGGAAATCCTCCTAGACGCTAAATAAGTTGCAGACCTCAGGCTTAGGGAAATAGAACATTCGTAGAATCAGACAGACAGAGAAAGACATTAAAACAGCAGGTGTGTTCAAAAAGAAAACTTACTCAACAACCACTTGCATATCCGTGCAGATGGACATGAGTTATACTTGTTTTGTAAAGGCTGATGATACCAACTGCCGCCTGTCCAAACCTTGGTAGGTGGATCAGGCTGGATTCGAACCGTTGACTTACTCGTCGGTAGTCAAGGGCCTAGACCAGTGTGAACCACAGCTTTACAAATACGTGTGTGTGCTAAGTAACCTGAATATATATTTGATAAAAATACAATAACAAGAATAAGTAACCTGTGAATACTTAACTGATGCTCTCTGATTTCCTGTATGCTTCTCCAATTAGTTTCCTCTCTTACATGCATAGGGTACTCTACTGATAATTGTGATTGTTAGAGACACTATAATGTCCACGATGTAATCAATTTTATTTCTGCTGAGAGAAAAAAATCCTCCTAGTTCAAATAATTTAAAAATAATCTCTTATTTTTGTTAATGTTTTTAACGTTGCAGATATGATACGTCGTCGTAGTTTACGGACAAGAGCAGTCAAATTGTTTGTTCTCGATGAAGCCGATGAAATGTTAGACAAAGGTTTCAAAGAACAAATCTATGATGTTTATCGATATTTACCGCCTGGAACACAAGTGGTTCTCCTTTCAGCCACAATGCCACACGAGATATTAGAAATGACATCAAAATTCATGACTAATCCTATTCGCATTTTAGTAAAACGGTAAGTTTCATTTGAATGAGAAGTTGTAAAATTCAGTAGCAAACTTGGTTGCCAAAACAAAACAAGAATTAAAAAATTGAACAATTACTTCATTTCCAACGCTTTTTTGGCTATAGCCTGTGGATGTTGATACTTAACATCCACACAGCTTGATTCTGCGAGATTTTATCCCCCCCCCCATGTTATATTAATAATCCTTAAACAAATATGGCACTCGCCAAGTACACAAAATCACACACGGAATTTTTTTCTATTTTTTTTTAAATTACAGCTTGATTCCACACCGTTTTTGGTACAAACATGGAATTTTCAGCGTGTGATATCAGTAGTCCAAATTTTGCAGGCCGACCATTGATATCATGTGTGCGTCGGCAGGGGATCGAACCCCGGTCCATGTGCATGGTAGGCGAGAGTCCTGACCACTGTGCCACCGAAGAACAACTGGCCTATGCATACTTTACAAAGTTAGCTGACATAGGATTAGGTTGGAAAAGAGTTGATGGTAATTTAATCAAGGTCTTGCATCAAACCATGAAGTCCTTGACTTTCAGTCCGAGCCACTCAGACAGGTTTTGACTGCCAGAGTGGCGTTCTCAGAATGCCAGGAACCAATGGTTTACGACTGTTAATGCTTTCTGGCTCAAAGTAGTTCCCATTGGCGGGGATGCTCCCACTCCTTGTAATCTCCCAGATGAATCAAGTCCCCAGGCTACTCCGTGTAATTCTTTCTTCAGTACATTGCTCTTCACTATAGTTTTTTATGGATTTTGGATCTCTACCTTTGTTTCGTAAATATGGAGTGTGAGACAGGTTGATATAAGTATAAAACTTGGACACTATGGTAGAGTATAAGTCCATTATGGATAAGATTTTATTTCGATGAATCACACAGTGTTGTGCAGTTATATTAAGTGATATGATATGAGCAATAGTTTGTGCTCGAAACGTCATCAATTAATATAACTGCACAACACTGTGTGATTTATCGAAATAAAATCTTATCCATAGTGAGACAGGTTGGTCTACCGCATTTTTATGCGATGTTGAAAACTCATTCAGTCACGTGAGACGACTAAGGTGCATTTGTTTTCTCCCTAAGTTTGTCCGCTATCCAGCATCCAAGCTATTTTAACAAGTGGTTCTGGTAGACAACGTACGTAAGCAACTATTTCCTTGTTTAATGACTAGACGCCCCAGTGATGTAATTATGAATGTTTGTCAAAACAAAGCAGCAACAACATAATGAAATGAGCTAAACTATCGGATTCCTTATACTTTTTGTTAGAGAGTTATTCGACGTCTATTAGTTAAAACTAAATGCCTAAGTCAGTGGTTCAGCCAGTAGAATGCTCGCCAACCACTCAGGTGGTCCGGTATTCGATTTCCGGCAGACTGTCTGTCTGTCTATTTTCGACATAGAACTTTACACATATGTACGACAGTTCAAGTCACCACACTCCCTCCTTGTAGCACACAAAGCAAGAGAAGAAGATAGAAGAAATGCATAATAGGGACAGTAAACAGAAGGGTGAGACACAGAAATAGTAGTAACGAAGAACAGTATAGTTTCATTGAAAATCATAAGTCACAAGGAGTGGATGCATTTGCGCTAGCCATTGAGAACGATGAGTTTGAGACATATCACCAATTGTCTTCATCCACCATTGGTCTTTACCGTCCCAATGACCCTAACCAGGAAGTCTACACCTTCCTGCATGGCTTAGACTAACTGTTGTAGATTTCCTTGACTGGTGAAGCCATGTTTTGGTTTGACCGCCACTAGCATTTCCGACCGACGCACCCCTAGAACTCATTAGGCTGGTAAAGAGGGGAAGGTTGGGTGTGAGACCAGCCACCCTACCCGGTGACAAACAACCGCTACTACCGAAACTTCAAAACTATAGCTCGAAGTCCTATGTTCCACTCGGAACGTAAAGGAATAAAAAAGTTGCCGACGTCAGTAATTCCTACTATCTTTGAAGTTGAAAAATTGCACAGTACAAATGACATTAAAAGTTACTTTAGGAGTTTCACTTCACCTACTCCGAACTGAGCAACTGGTGGTTAGTAGCACCAACCGTTACACGACAATAAATGTCGCTGATAGTTTTAAGCCATGTGTATATTTTCACCTGTAATAAACACCTAGTATAATTCGGTTATCCTAAGACCTTAAATGTCATAACGATTGATTTGTTTTGATGAGCATTGAGTAACATTCAATACTAATTGTCTGTCTGTCTGTCTGTTTTCGACATAGAACTTTGCACAAATGTGCGGAAGTTCAAGTCGCCACATTCCGTGTAGCACGCGAAGCAAGAGAAGAAAGTACAAGAAAAGCATAATAGAAACAGTGAGCAGAGGTGTGAGACAAAGGAGTAATAAAGAAATACAAAACAGTTTCATTGAAGATCATAAGTCACAGGGAGTGGATGCATCTGCGCCACTGAGAACGATTTTGAGCCATGTCACCAATTGTTTCCAACCATAGATTTTTACCGTCCCGAGGACCCCAGCCTGGAAGTCTACACCTTCCTACGTGGCTTAGACCAACTGTTGTGGATTTCATTGACTGATGCCAAGTTTTTGTTTGACCGCCGCTAGCTTTTTTCCAGCCTGACCCTATATCCGCTAACATAGCTCGTCGAGGGAGGCGATGGCTTGGCATACGTAACACATGTCCTAACCATCTCAGTCTTTGTAGCTTCACGACTTCGTCGATTGATTTCCCCTGTTTACCTAGAACTCTACGCCTAACCTCCATGTTGCTCACCTTATTATGCCACTTTACACGGGAAATAGAACGCAGGCACCTATGATCAAAGACAGCTAGTCTTTTCATGTCTTCCACTCTCAGTGGCCAGGTCTCACAACCATAAAGGAGGACGGAGCGGACTGATGAGCAGTACACCCGCCCTTTGGTCGATAGTCGAACATCTCGTCTACGCCAGAGTCGGCGTAAACTAACAAATGCGAAACGAGCCCCTTGTATTCGTGCTGAGATTTCGTCAGAGATCAGCCCGTTGGGGCTGATGGTACTTCCCAAATAAGTGAAGCGGTCAACGTGCTCTACCACTTCACTTCCTATTTTTAAACTAGGCGTCGATGTAGTCCAGTCCTGTAACATCATCTTGCATTTGGCGGGAGCGAATCGCATGCCAAACATTCGTAGATTGCTGCTCAAGGTGTTTAGAAGACTCTGCATTTCGTCAGCGTCTTCGCCTAGAAGGACTATATCGTCTGCATATTCCAAGTCAACGAGATTATTCCCAGGTAGCAAGTCAATCCCTGAATCGCTGAAGTCACCTAGGGTTAAGTCCATTAACACATCTATGATGAAGTTGAATAGAAAAGGAGATAATGGGCATCCTTGACGGACACCACTGGTCGTCATCAGTTCAGATGACAGCTCGCCGTAAGCCCTCACCTGGCTGTATGAGTACGAGTAGAGTGCCTTAATCAGTGCAATATATTTTCTTGGAATTCCCTTTACAGCCAAGCATCTCCAGAGAACTTCCCGATCGACAGAGTCGAATGCTGCCTTTAGGTCAAGAAATATAATGACTGTTGGACGCCGGTAGGAATGCCTATGTTCTAGAATCTGTCGGAGGGTGAAGATATGATCAATACACCCTCTTCCTGGTCTAAAGCCTGCCTGGCTCTCTCGTGTTTGTGCTTCCCGAGCACCACTCAGTCTACGCATGATTATTGAGCCTAAGACTTTAGATACTATATTAGTCAAGCTAATCCCTCTGTGATTATCACAGGAAGACTTGTCTCCCTTCTTGTATATGGGGATAATCAGTGACTTACACCAACCCGATGGGACTTCTTCTGATTCCCAAACGCTGCCTAGTACCTCAGTTAATCCGGACAGTAAGCTGTCTCCACCGTACTTAAATACCTCTGGCGTCATTCCATCAGGTCCCGCTGCTTTGCCTAGTTTCAGATTGGTGACAGCTTTAGTAACCTCAGTTAGTGACGGAGGACCTGTATCTATATCCCATTCAGGGAGGTGTTGGATGCTCGGAAGGTTGAGCGTGGCTGTGGGCAAATTAAACTGCTCCTCATAATGCTCTTTCCAACGATCCAGTCGTCTATCCTGTGAGCTAATTATAGTGCCATTTTTTTCCGAGATTGTCTCACTAATGATTTGTCTTCTCCCACCCGTTTCCCTGATGAGTCCAAAGAGTTGCCTGGTGTTGCCTATCCTCAAAGCTTTCTCCATCTCTTTGGCTTTTGTCGCCCACCACTGTTCACGGTCCTTGCGGAGACTTTTCGTAAGTTTCCTCTTGTGCAGCTTTCGCTCCTCATTGAATTCGGAGCTCGCCGGAATAAGTCTTCTAGCATCTATCAGTTCGGATGAGGCGGTGGAGATCCAGTGGTTTTTACTCACCTTTGGGTTTACCTTATTCACAGCTTTTACAGCTGTATCTATGGCTGCCTGGATATTTTTCCAAGCTTCTTCAGGGTGAGCACAGCTGTCGAACACAGATATGTGTTTAGCTAGTTCTTCCTCAAATACGGATTTAGTTTCCTGATCGAGCTGGGGACGTGATGGTTTTACCGCCAGCTGTTTCCTACGTCCGTTCAGTCGTAAGCACACCCGAGCGCGGACCAGTGCATGGTCGGTATCTACGCACGTGTTCCAGAAGGAGCGACAATCTCCTACCGACCCACGCCAACGATAGCTTATTGCTATGTGGTCTATTTGTGTCCAGCGTTGGTTTGATGAAGGGGGTCTCCAAGTCAAACAGTGTCTCTCCTTGTGTTTGAAGTTAGTGCTTACAAGAAACAAATGATTATCAGAACAGAACTGTAGGAGACGGTCACCGTTGTCGGTTCGCTGGCACGGAACTCCATAGGTGCCACCGACATCAATACTAATTAGTTTCCTTCTTGTTCTTCTTTGGTTTCTTTTCCACTTCTAGTGATGAATTGACTCTGGAAGGCATAAAACAATTTTTTGTTGCAGTGGAACGAGAAGAATGGAAATTCGATACATTGTGTGACCTGTACGATACACTGACTGTTACTCAATCTGTTATTTTCTGTAATACAAGGCGTAAAGTTGCCTGGTTGACAGAAAAAATGCTTAAGAATAACTTCACTGTCGCGTCTATGCACGGTGAAATGGTTCAAAAGGAGCGAGAAGAAATTATGAAAGATTTCCGTGCTGGTGATAGGTATGTTGAACAGCTTTTCTGATCACCTTTGTTTGTGGTTTTAATGTATGAGTGTGGCTTATTTTAGTCTAAGCACTCGACTTTCAGCCAGTGTGGCATGGGTTCGAATACCGTTCTCCTATCAATTTCAATCTGAGCAACTAGTTAGTATCATCAACCCTTAACAGTAAGTGTGGCCCTTAACCTGGAAAAAAAGAAAGGCTAGGAGAACTGGGTCCATTTTTGATTTACAGCCAAGCTTGTTGTTGTTGTTGATTGTTTCACTGTGAATATCGTAGGATGTTTTGGGTGCAGTGTGGCTATCGTCGTACCCCAAATATTCATCAACCTTACTCGACAGCGGCACATGTTAAGTGATCCACAACAGAAAACTCAGCGAGGCGTTTGGAGTAAGCACAGGAGTCAGACAAGGGTGCTCATTATCACCAATGAATGATATTCTTAATTGCGGTGGACTGGATTATGCGTCAGACAGTAGGAGAGGAGAAGACGGGGATATCCTGGACTGATGTGAAGAACCTAGAAGACCTGGATTTCGCGCATGGATGATTTATGTTTGATGTCACTGTCACAAAATCAAAGACTTACAAACGAAAACCGACCGACAAACTGGCTGAAGAAGCAGCCGACGAAGACAGGACTCCAGGTGAACATAGACAAGACGGAGGTTATGAAAATAACCAACCAACAACAACAGCAGAAACATTCAGAGCCAATCACCATCAACGGGAGGGATTTGAAAGAAGTTACTTCATTCACTTACTTATCATCTAGGGAGCATTGTCTCAACTACAGGCTGTCGGAACGGACGAGGATGTCAAATCGAGCTAGAATCAGGAAGGCGAGAAACACATTCATCAACCTGAAACCAATCTGGAAATCTTCGTCACTCAACTCAGCATCAACAACGAAATTCTGTCAGATTTTCAATACAAACAACGTCAAATCAGTCAACTCTTCTATATGGATCAGAAACTTCACGGGCGGGTCACAAAATATATTTCCAACAGCGTGTTGCAGACCTTTATCAATAAATAACTGTCTTCGCTGTATACTGAAGATCAATCAGATGGCTGGAAAGAATCACCAACAAGAAACTATGGGAAGAAACAAAACAAGAACCAATCGCCCAACAGCAGCAAATATGCAGGAGAAAGTGGAGATGGATTGGACACTCGCTGAGGAGGCCGCCGCTGGATGACATCGCGCGCGCGTCAGGTCAGTGCTGGAGTGGAACAAGGCGGAAAGGAAAGCGGCGAGTGGGACGTCGGTGCAAGGGTGACATGGAGGAGATCGTGTGAAGGGGAGGAGTATGGACTAAATAACATGGATACTAGTGAAAAGTAGGACAGAAGACAGAAGCAAGTGGAGACGTGCAGTTGAAGCCCTATGTTCCACTAGGAACCGAAGGGAATAATAATAATAATGGCTATCGTACTACGATTGATATCATAGAGGTTATGGCTCAGCGATTTGTCGAGGTTATTCTCACATTTATAGATTAAGTAAACAGAACTATCTAAGACAAACAGCATGGCATTCGAGAAAGTAGTTAACCACTAAACAAGTATAATGCAGTATTACTCCCTTTTCTGCTGTATAACTTTCGGAAACCTAAGGAGATATTACTATATTGATTTGATTTCGGAACTGTTTATAATCTATCTCGTCAGTGATTCAACTTATATGCCTTTATGTACATTTGAACAAGGCACATAAGGCCATTTTGTTTTCAATGAGATCTTCAGGCTCCACTCTAATTTACATAGATTTTTGTATAAAAGTTTCAACCCATGACAGTGAGTTTGTAGATCAAATACTAATAATTTATTTTATTTTTTATTTTTATTTTTGATTACAGCTTGATTCCACACTGTATTTTTGGTACAAGTATGGAATTTTCAGTATGGATATCGGTAGCCCGAATTTCGCAGGCCGACCATAGATATCAGGTGTGCGTCGGCGTGGGCTCGAACCCCGGACCATGTGCATGGTCGGCGAGAGTCCTAACCACTGTACCACCGACGCACCGAACGTCAGTACTAACGATGATTTTATTGATAGCAAAGATCATGATAATAAGGTTTATGCAGGTGGCGATATGAATGACGAAGGTAGTAAGTAATATCTATGTATGTATATGTAGACAATTCAATAAATAAACAATTGGGTCAAATCTTAAAACAATCGCACTATGAATGTACATTTCACATTCAACAAACTTTATTACAGACAAATCGACATTATTGCTATGGGGTTCTCCATTGGGTCCAATTATGGCAGATTTTTTTCCTGCCAAGCTTGAAAGTGGTTCATTGAAACAAGTAATAGATAAAACTTATTCTTATTTTCGTTATGTTGATGATACGTTTATTACTCTTGATGTGAAAGCTGACAAGAATGAAATGTTAATAAAATTCTAATGATGCACATCCATCGCTCATCTTCACTTGTGAAGAAGAATATGATGGTGGACTACATTTCCTTGGCGTCCAGTTAAGCAGAAGAGAGGTTGGTTCATTCAAGAGAGATGTCTATAGAAAACCTACATCTGTAGGACAATATACACATTTCTTCAACTTCGTACTAATCCGATACAAAATCGATTCGGTTAGATGCCTCACGAATAGATCAAGAAGGATCTGTACAGATAACTCTAGAAAATTAATTAGGATACATCCAAAATACGTTGATCGAAATGGGTTATCCTAGTAGATTTGTAAGGAGACACATGAACACCAGGTGTAATAAAGAGAAACTGACAACAGTTAAAAAGGAACAACTGTTCATGAAATTGAAATTTAATGAGGACTTGGCTATTGAAGTTCTTCATCCAAGATAATCGAGAGCAATAAAACGGATCTATACTGCCGCCACCCTATGTTTGCCATTTTCCAGCAGACCAGTTATGATTGCTCAAGCAAAAGACAAGCTGCTTAGCCGTGCCACTTCTTTGTGTACCTACGAATTTAGTTGCTCATGTGGCGTGGGGGCGAACAACTTGACAGCTCAACAAGAATTATTGACAAGCATCCTCCTTCATGGTTCTGTAAATGTCAAATAAAATCTATAAGGAGTTTTATTTTGACTCATATAATTGATAGAGGTCACTAAGGGGACAGAAGAGGTGCCTTCAAATTTATCTACCGCATTCCATGGAGCCTTTCGAACAGAATTCGAATCCGTCTTTTACACAGCCGAAGCTATGGGAATTAATTCGAGAGAACAATCGTAGTCTTTGCATACAACAAAAACAGTTTGTTCTACCTTTGTCTCCCCTTTGGTCTATGTAAAGTCTAATTAAAACCCTCCCACCCTTTCTTATTTTCCATTTCCTTCGTACTTTCATAATATTTATTTAAACTCTGATTATCTGTCCACTTCACCTGCCTTTAGTATTACGTAACTTTTGAGATTTGACCTAATTTATTTGTTTATTGAATTGTCTACATATACACACATAGGTATTACTGCCTTCGTTATTCTTATCACCACCTGCCTAAACCTTATTATCATCATTTTTCTTATCATTATAATCATCGTTATTATTGTCATTTGATCTACAAACTCACCGTCATTGATTTTAATTTTTATACATAAATCTATATAAACTAGAGTGAGACCTGAAGCAGATCCAATTGAAAACAATATTCAAGTGTTGGTTTGTAGGGATTTGATTGGTTACAAGATTTCGTCATGAGTTGACATTAGTTAGAGAACCATTGAAAAGCCTGGGAGTACTGGATAGCTGTTTCATCCTAGTTTGGAACTCGTCAGCAGTACGCACCCAGGCTAGGGGTCGCGCTTTGTTGTGAATTGGCAGAAGTTAGAATTCATGGGTCATTGGATCGGGTCCCAGCGGCCTAATGGCATACGAGCTCGTCTTTTAACCAGAAAGTCCTGGGTTCGAGTCCCGGTGGGGCAGTACTGATGAAGAGTCTCAAACTAGGACGAAGCAGTTAGCTGTTCAGTATTCCTAGGTTTTCCAATGGTTCTCTAACTAGTGTCAACTCATGATGAAGTCCAGTAATGAAAACAATATTGTATTATTAAATTATATATCATTATTGTATTATATATAATGGAGAACCTTTCAAACTAAGGAGTGTTATATTCTTGATCGCTACTACCTTGTCTGATGTATATTACACCGATATTCATGAACCAATATAATTCGTCAGTTTATTGTGGGTCTTTTTCAGTAACGAAATAATTTCTTATTACGCGAAGTATTATCACAAAGATGAAAGATGAGTGAGTAATAGAGAGGTTTCGCGTGCGTTTCGGATTGTGAGGGCGATTGTTACTTCCCGGCTGCCCACACCGTGGAAGTTGGTTGCGTGACCGCAGAGCCCAGGGGACAACTGCTTGAGGCCGGTCACACGCGGCCTGTTTTTGTTCGTTCTTTTTTGTTTGGTGTGCCTCAGTAGCATACTTATCACTCCTGCCCTGTGACACGGCAGCAGGAAGCGCGGTCGTTGTTAATCCGGGCCACGGCCGATCCGGCGTGAGATTTTGTGATTTTGTATTTATCATGATGTTGGATAGGGTAGCTGCTTTTTGTTTAACCGCTATCCAAACAACCTTTCTGGAATGGTAGGACCTCAAGAGACATAAGTCTCAGCCAGTATAGCTTGATTAGGTCATTGCGGTGTTCAAGCCCGACCACCACGTCAAGGTAGCAGCTTTCGGTCGGGCAAGTATTATCACAGCAAAGGACATTGTCGTGAGCATTGTATTATATACTCGGGTTCTTTTTGAAATGTATGGGTAATTATTGGTGGGTGCGAGTAGTTTTTTATTTTCAATTTAAATTCTTTCATCAAGAAGCAGTATCGGTTAGTTAGAGTGAACCATCCTTGACAGTTAAACTGAGTCGGTCAGGTAGGGAGATGCAGACTCCCGGGTTGGGGCCCTCGGGACTCTAGGAATCAATGGCTGGAGACAATAGGTGACATGGTTCAAAATCGTTGTCAATGGCCAGCGCAGATGTATTCAGTCTCTGTAATCTTTCATATTCCTTTCTACCATTACCCATTCTGTTTCACTCGTATACTTGTCAAACTCTATTGATTCTCTTCACTCATCTTCTTGTCTACTTTTGTGTGCTATTTGGAAGGTGGCAACTCGAAGTGCTGCACTTCGGTGCCAAGTTCTGTGTTGAATCCAGACAGACAGATCTTCACCGTCACCCTGTGACGAAATCTACCTGACAGTTGTTAAAATCCCCTACAAAATCAACTGATTTTAGGATTAATCTGTTTGAATTCTAGTGAAAAGTCAGATGTGACGAGAGATAAACTCGCCGATAATATTGATTGATTGAAAGAAGTTGAAATTTTTCACTGGTCACTAGATTCCACCTTTTTTTGGCTGAAAGTCCTAAGTTCAATCCCCACTAGGTGGTACCATTAAAGAGTTCCGGTGTAGGACGGGAAAGTGCTGTCCATTGTGCTCACTGTCTCAAACAAGTCCCCTGAAAAACAGCATGTGTAAATCATCGTGCATTTCACAATCAAGAAACAAAATGAGAGACGTAATAATTGTCAAAATTTTTTTACACCATCCTTTCTGCAGTTTTGATCTAATTTTGTCTCAGACAAATATTTGTCGACTTGTTACTTGTATTACAATTTTTCTTCTGCATTTCAGTCGCGTTCTCATAACAACAGATCTCTGGGCAAGAGGTATTGATGTACAACAAGTCTCTTTGGTCATTAATTACGATCTGCCGAATAATCGTGAACTGTATATTCATCGTATTGGTCGATCTGGGCGTTTTGGACGTAAAGGTGTAGCAATTAACTTTGTGAAAACGGATGACATCAAAATTCTGCGAGATATTGAACAGTACTATTCAACACAAATCGATGAAATGCCAATGAATGTTTCAGACCTTGTGTAAAAAAAACAATAAGATCATGGTACTCTCTTGCCATTGTTCACCTAATAAAATACTTATCTTTTTTTATCGTTCCTAATCTTATTGTTTTAATAACTTGACAGGGAAGAAAAGGCATCAGGTGTTATATATTTAGCCACGGGATTATGCATAGGCGTTCTTCGGTTCCTAGTTAGTGCAGCCAACCAGCTAATTCAATGAAGAACACACATGAACACATACTGAAATGACTAGGAGCAAATGTATTCAAGCACGAGAGCTACTTTTTTTCCTCATTCTCTTACATTCCCAGTGGAACACAGGACTTCAGGCTAGGGGCCTGAAGTTTCGATAGCAGTGGTGTTTATTTCTACGGGATAGGGTTGCTAGTCCCATGCCCAACCTCCCCTCGTTGACTTAGAATATGCAGACAATATAGTCCTGCTTCTAGGCGAGGACGCTGATAAAATAGAGCAGAGTCTTCTGAACACCTTGAGCAGTGAGTGATCTACGAATGTTTGGCATGCGGTTCGTCGCTCCTGGTGCCAAATGCAAGTTGATATTACAGGACTGGACTACACTGACTCCTAGTTTAGAAATAGCGTGTGAAGTGGTAGAGCACGTTGACTGCTTCACTTATTTGGGAAGTATCATCAGCCAGTGCCAACGGGTTTATCTCTGACGAAATCTCAGCTGAGTACGAATACAGAGGGCTAGTTTCGCATATGCCAAATTACGCTGCCTCTGACGTAGACATGATATCCGAATATCGATCAAATGGTGGGTTTACTGCTCCATCAGTCCGCTCTGTCCGTCTTTATGGCTGGCTGTGAGACCTGGCCATTGAGAGTGAAAGACATAAAAAGATTACCTGTCTTTGATCATAGGTGCCTGCGGTCTCTTTCCCGTGTGAAGTGGTATAATAAGGTGAGGAATATTGAGGTTAGGCGTGGGTCGAGTGCTAGGTAGGTGGGAGGGGAAATTAATCGACGAAGCTGCGAAATTACATCGATTGAGATGGTTAGGACATGTGTTACGTGTGCCTAGCCATCGCCTTCCTCGGCTGACAGACAATGTTAGCTAACATAGGGTCAGACTGGAAAAAAGCTAGCGGCGGTCAAACCAAAACATGGCTTCACCAGTCAATGAAATCTACAACAGTTAGTTTAATTAGTTAGTGTAGACTTCCTAGTTGGGGTCCTCGGGACAGCAAAAACCAATGATGGTTGGAAACAATTGGTGGTATGTCTCAAACTCATCGTTCTCAATGGCTAGCGCAAATGCATCCACTTCTTGTGACTTATGATTTCCAATGAAACTATAGTGTTCTTCGTTATTAATATTCCTTTGTCTCACCCCTCTGTTTACTGTGCATTTTTTCTATCTTCTTCTCTTGCTTTGTGTGCTACAAGGAGGGAGTGTGGTGACTTGAGCTACCGCACATGTTGAAAACAAACAACCTCCCTTCTTTACCAGTCTTAATACTGGTTTGGCGAAGTAAAGGAGTGCGTTGGCCGGGTATCGAACCTCGGACCACATGAGGCGTGGTCGGCGACACATTCTACCGCTGTGCTACCGACGCAATCATAGGTTATCATACGATGTGAAAATTTTGATTGGCTAATTTCCAGATTAAATGTTCAACCCACTTGATAATATTGAATAACCTTTCATTATTATTATTATTAGTTCGTATATTTATTTATTTTTTCTTTCACTTTCCCCAGTGGAACATAGGTCCTCAAGCTAGTGGCTTGAAGTTTTTCTAGCAGTGTTTATTTTTACAGGATGGGGTTGCTAGCCTCATGCCCAACCTTTCCTCTTTACCAGCATTATTTCTGGCTTATCGAGGTTAAGGAGTGCGTCAATTGGCCGGGGATCGAACCCCGGACCATGTGAATGGTCGGCGAGCGTCCAAACCGCTATATTTATGGAAGTCTTGAAAATCTTGTGAACAACTACTGGTGTACTATTCTTAATAGACAATTCTTGAGAATTTGGCACTAGGGCTAATCATTTGTGTATTCTGGGTTATCAATCGTACTATGTTTTCAGTATACCCTATGTGATGTTTAAAAATTTAATGAATTTGAATAAAGCAAGAACGACGGTTTTTCAAGAATAAACTGGTACCATCTCATTGTTTATTTCGCTGACTTCTCATCAGCTCAGTTGCTTACAGCCCAAAGTCATTATTAAGTTTTACACTTACAGAAACTATTTTAACTTGCTTGCACAGACTTCATTTTTAAACAAAAATTAGTCAGTATATGCATACAATAATAACTATAAACACAATAATGATCATCTACACAATGGAAACTTCCGGCATTACTTAATCAGATGAAAGAGAGGATGAAGATATCCAGTTACCAGACAGGCCAAGGAAAGACTCATCACCTCTTCTTTCTGAACACATAAATCGGATTTCAGACGCTTGATGGAGATTGCTTCGGCAAACTTAAGAAGAACTGAATTGGGATAAAATGTTTGTTATTATTGGCATTGTACGCATATACTGATTAATTGATTTTTTTAATGTCTTTGGGTTGTAAGAAGCTGATGAGAAGCCAACGAACTAAACAATGATGGTATCATCTTATTCTGCACAAACCACTGTTGTTCTTGGTCTATTCAAATTTTTTTTGTTTCTCGATACGGATTATATTAAGTATAACAGGATTGCTAATCGTTATCACATCTCATTACTTACTGGGTAAGTAAGTGCTGATGATAAATTAGCTTCGTGATGCTCTCTACATAGATTGTCTCTTTATTCTTATCATACTATTATTTCCTTTAATTCCTTGAGAAACATAGGGCTTCAGCCACGCGTCTCCACTGCGTTCGGTTCTCTGCTACAGTTTTCACCTGGCTCCAAATCTGCCCACATGCTTTCATCTCCTCCTCTTCACATGACCTCCTCCAAGTCACCCTTGCATTGACGACCAACTCACCGCTTCCCTTTCGGGTTCCACTCGAGCAATGGCTTGTCTAGTGATGTCACTTGATGGTTTCCTCAAAGTATGGCCAATCCACCTCAATTTCTTCCTGTTTATTTGTGTCACAATCGGTTCCTGCTGGGTTAGTTTGCTCCCGGAGATCCCTGTTGCTGATCTTTTCTGACCGACCATCTGATCTTGAGAAAAAAACGAAGACAGCTATTGATGAAGGTCTGTAGTTTGTTTGAGGTGCTCTTTATGACTCGCCAAGTCTCTGATTCGTATAGTAGTAGCCCTGACTTCACATTGGAGTTGAAAATCCGGATCTTATTTTTTATGCTGAGTGATGTTGACCTCCACACAGAATTAAGGGTAATGAAAGTCTGTCTTGTTTTTCCGATTCTGGCTTTAATATCCTCGTCAGTTTCGCCTGTAGTTGAAACGATGCTTCCCAGGTAGGTGAAGGAGGTTGTTTCTCTCAGGTTCCTCCCATTTATGCTGATTGTTGTCCGTTGTTGCTGCTGTTGGTGTTGGCCAGGAATCTTCACCACCTCTGTTTTACCTATGTTCACGTGGAGTCCTATCTTTGATGCTTCTTCTTCCGCCAACTTGTTGCTTTTCACTTGCATATCTTCCAGTTTATGGGGAATCAGACATATATCATCGGTGAAGTCCAGATCCTCCAAGTCTTTTGTGTGGGTCCGTTTTATGCCTGTTTTCTCGTTGCCCAGTTGTCTGTCACATTATCCAATCTACCGCAATCAGGAAAAGCATTGGAGATAGTAGGCAGCCAGCCAGCCTTGTCTTACTCCCGTCTTCACTTCTTCGAAGGATTCCGTAAGTTTCCCTTTGTGGATTACTTGGCATGCAGCATTGTCGTGCAACTGTTGGATGAGATGTATGATTGTCGGTGGCACCCCGGCTTTGTGATGCTCTATATGGATTGTCTCCTTATGCAATTTTATCTTTTAACTCTGACAAACAATTATGCAGAGGCTAATTCAATTCTTATCGCTGTTACCATTAAGGCTGTCACAAATAAATGCGGTGTTCCCCCGACTCCCAACCCCCTTTTTTAACCATACATATCCCGCGGAAATGACTAACATCTTGAATTGGTACATATGAGAAAACTGAAACATGTGCAATCGATCAAAAAAGTTTTATTTATTTAAAAATATTTAAAGATGAATATAAAATATTGGATGGTTTTTTCATCATATGGTTGGTTGGTTGCCTTGGACTGTCTGAGATTACGACTAATTTTGTGATTGTATGTAGTCGGTTAAAGACTTCAAGAAGGCTGAGAAGACAATAGAAAAAAAGTCCAATGACGGTTAATTCATTCTACTAATTGATTTAGAAAAAGTAGTTACATTATTTGCATACTTCTTAATTAAATTAGTAATTGATGGTGAAACTAAATGATTTAGTTACTGGGTTGACAGATTGTTATTGATGTATCGAGTGATAATTGGAATTGAAATAAAAATCTGGTTCGCTATGGGTTTCAAACCAATGACCCTGGAATTAATAGCTCCGGTACTCTACTACGTGAGCGGTGAAACGCACCTGCTAATCAGGTTATCATCTCACCACAATCACCATAGGTAATGTCCACTTGTCATGTGAATGAATGATACGTTACACTAACCAGCTGCGGTAGATCTTCTGTCGATCCTAATCCTACTGAATTGAAAGGAGAGGATGACGATCTCAGTGAAACCACAACTTGGTTTGAAGTTGAGTCTAGCGAGCTTCTGAGCAGTACACACACTCTTTAATCGACAGTCGGATATCACGTCTAAGAGATGGTGTAATTTGGCATATGCCAAACAAGCCTCCTGTATTCGTGTTGAGATTTCGTCAGTGATCAACCCACTGACGTCGGCTGATGCCACTTCCTAAATGAGTGAAATGGTGAACACGCTTTCCCACTTCACTTGCTATCTTTAAGCTAGGAGTCAATGTAGTCCAGTCCTGTAGGATGCAACATCTTACTTTTGGCGAGAGCGAATCGCATGCCAAACACTCGAATATTTATGCTCATAGTGGTGCTTAGGAGACTCTGCATTTCGTCAGCGTCTCCACCTAGAAGGACTATGTCATCTACATATTCTAAGTCAACGAGATTATTCCTTGGTGGTAACAAGTCAATCCTTGAGTGGCTGAAGTCACTTAGGGTTAGTCCCATTAGTACATCTATGATGAAATTGAATAGAAATGGGGATAGTGGGCATCCTTGACGGATACCACTGGTTGACACCTCTTCAGATGACAACTCTCCGTAAGCTCTCACCTAGTTACATGAGTACTTGGAGTACTTTGGTCACTGCGATGCATTTTTTTGGTATTCCCTTCAAAGCCAGATACCGCCAGAGTACCTCTTGGTCGATGGAATCGAGTGCCGCTTTCAAGTCAAGAAATATGACAATTGTTGGACGCCAGTAAGTGTGCCCATTTTGGAGAAACTGTCAAGCAGTGAAGATATGATGCATGCACCATTATCCTGGTCTAAAGCCTGTTTGGTTCTCTCGTCTTTGTTTCTCCCGAGCGCCACTTAGTCTACGCATTATTATATAGCCTAGAACTTTAGACACCATATATTGGTCAAGCTGACCCCTCCTGTGATTAGCTGCACCAACAAACTATTACCAACCAGTATAGCAAAAATTATCAGGAGACTAGATAAAAAAGTTGTTTTTTGCATTAATCCATTGAGTGAGTGCATATCCTGACAAAGGTGCAAGATATTTATATGCCATATAGATTAGTTTGAAAATCATTCAGTTGTATAGCAAACAAAATAATTTTGTCTTATCAACACAATATCGTTAGACAATTTTTTCTTCGCATTCTCTCCGTTTCGAGTACAACATTGGCCTTTGAGTTTCAGTAGCCGCGGTTTTGGTCTTTTACAAGTTGAGCTTGTTATACCCACCTCATCGATCAATCTTCCTTCTTTACTGGGTTTACTGACAGCTACCAGGTAACTTACTAGGCGATGTTTAGGAATGCGTCGGCCAGGAATCGTATCCAGATCTCTTACGTAGTCGGCGAGCATTCTAACATTGAACCTCTGAGGTTCACATTAAGTGATTTTGTCGCATTTCAACTAGACAGATCAATAGGTGCATGTATCATCTATCAGACACTGAAGTCGTCAAACAGACGAAGTTTCGAACAAAATTGGCAGAAGTTAGAATTCAAGGACCATTGGATCGGGTCCCAGTGGCTTAATGGTCTACGAGCTCGCTATCCTTGTAACCAGAAGGTCCTGGGTTGTAACCCCGGTGGGTGCGAACTGTGAAGAGTTCCAAAATAGGACGAAACAGCTGTCCAGTACTCCCAGCTGGTTTTCCAGTGGTTCTCTAACCAATGTCAGCTCATGATGAAATCCCTACAAACCCATACTTGAATGTGAATAGTACAGAATAAACTGATCTCATTCCTCACACTACTATTACACATATTCTCTCTAAATATAGAACTCAAGATATTACTAAATATTCATGCGCGCATACCTTCAGGTTTTTGGTAAAATCGACAATTACTAGCACACTCCAACCATGGTGGTATTCGACCAGTGTATACACCATCATTATTACTACTGTATCGCATACAAAGACAAAGATTAGGTAATTCCTTCTTATTCAGCTGAGTGAGTAAAGAATGCCACATAGACAGTACTTCATCGTAATCATCAGTGGATTCAAGTTGTTGTTTTCTATGCCTGTAAGAGAAAGAAAAGTGTAAAGTGAAGGTTTGATGAGTCGCTTCACCAAATGATATATATATATATATATATATATATCATCTAGAAAACCAGTCATTGTGGTGATTAGACGGTTAGAGGCAATCCACGCACTGGAAGCCTTGCCGGGACATCTAGGCTTCGTGCTAAATGGCACTCACCACCAGTCTGTCAGCAAGGCGTATTCTGCAGTTCCTCCTGAAGTTCAAACCCGCGTCACCGAGTGTCGCCTGCAGTCAGAGACGTTAACACCACTGAGCAGTTATTCTGGCTTGCGACTAACCTCCTGTAGGACTGTATTGGATATTTTTGCGATTGGACACTACTTAGTAACTAGTGTAATGTGTCTAGTCCTATTTTGGTGTAGACTGAATTCGAATAGTCAAGTGTGTAATGTGACCACCAGGCCACTAGGTGACTCAGAAGGGACATGAGTTCCTTCAAGGTGATTGCAGGTACGCCGGCTGACTGATTGGTGCCAAAACGCATGAAACCTAAATCCAAAGCTTCCTACCAACTGCCTCCAACTATTTAATTACAAAAATTCAGAGTGTACCGTAGTGATGAACCACCCAGAATGATGGCCGTATTGCAAACTTGACTGACAGGGCTAGACATATGACACTAGTTACTGACTAGGGTCCAATCCAAAAAAAGCAAATCATTCTATTTCAGTAAACTGTAATAATCCACACTAGAAAGGAAACAAACTTGAAATCTCCAGGTTTTGAAGTAGGCGTACTACTTTCCATGGATGGCGGTACAGACTAGTGATTGGTCGATTGTGATATGGTTAATTGGATACCACCCAGGCCAACGAGTAATGTTCACTAGCCAGGTCGAAGTGATCTAAACGACGGACCACAATTACACCTGTTTACACCGAGCTCATATCAGCGGTGTGCCAGTGTGACTCGGGTCAAATAGCTGAATTAAGTGGAATTACTCAATTTTTCGCTGGTTACTTGAGCGAACTGGTAATATTCATGAATTATACAGTTGAGGCTGGCTAACAAGCACCGCTGGTTGATGTGAGTGGTGGCACCCAGCTACTCATATAAATCCTTCAGTAGTATATACTTTCATGCTATTTTTAGTTTTATCAAGTAGACCAAACATTGTAGTCTGAATAATTTCCGTAACTTGTAAACTGAGAATTTGACCAGCTGCTGATGAGTCCGTTGACTTCGCAACATTAAATTGAAGTTGTCAGCATAAGATAACATGACAACTAATCGTGTTAATCAAAAGTAAGTGTGCGCGTGGGCGAGAGAAAGTGGCTTAGTTTTGTATGTGAATAACTTCTGCAAATTTGTTTAGCTAATGCAAAGTGGCTCTGTAACGACAGAGGACAAGGGCCAGGCGACAGACCGTTTATTGACAAAATCAAGAGACATTTATAGATTTTTATGTACATCATTATTCGTTATTGTTAGCAGAGAAGCAATGTCTTCTGATTGGTTGTTTTCCCGCCGAAGGTTATTCTGTCATCTCTTTGTTGCCGTTTCATAGACAGTCCGTTGATTTATCTTCGAATCGTTTCCGTCCACGCTAAGTTTGCTGTGATTGGTTGTTGAGTTAGTCTTCTTGGTTTCTTCTCATGACCGAGATTTGGGACATAAACATTGACGTAAATTGCTGTCTACCAATTTTAGCTAGCAGACAGCTCTCACCACAGTTCTATTAAAAATTACCACTAGTTTCACTAGAATTCGCAAAATATTCTGTTATGATTCTATCATGTTATCACATTCCATAAGTTTTAACACATGCAAAACACATTCAGTGGTTAGGAATCTTGGAAACTTTGTGGTACATACAGACCTAGTTATCTACATGTCTGTTTGTACTTCTCTCACGCCGCTTATTGATTTATGATCTGGTTTTCTCTCACCCTACTTAAAACCTTTAAAATCTTATTGGTTGTTCACTGTCTCAATTTATCAATTACATTAGTACCTCTCAAGGTCATTTTGGCGTCGGTGGCATTGTGGTTAGGACGCTCGCCTACCACGCACATGGTCCGGGGTTCGATCCCCGGTCGACGCACTCCTTCACCTCGCTAAGTCAGAAATAATGCTGTTAAGGAGTAAAGGTTGGGCATTAGGCTAGCAACTCCATCCTGTAAGAAGTAATCACCACTGCTACAGAACCTTCAAGCCACTAGCTTGAAGCCCTATGTTCCACTGGGGAACGTGAAGGAAAAAAAAGGTCATTTCGAACATTTATACTCAAGCTCTGTCAACCCTTCTTGACTGTTGTTTTGAGACAGTTAAAGCTCTGTCAGCGTCCGGTCCTTTTTTGTTTTTGCGTGCCGTCGGTGTTATTTTAGTTGACGTGCGATTAGGACAGACTAGCCAGCGCATTAAAGTCATTATTCGCTTATAGTCTATTGAGTTGTAATTCCGGTCCTAACACTTTGGTTAATAGGACAAACACTGAAGCAAAAAAATATGAACAGTACTTAGTGTGTGAGAGCGAATGATACTACACAGTCGTCAGTTGGACTGAAGTTGATGAACTTTATATTCAATATCAGAACCAATAGATTACTTCTCCATTCGAATTGTAAGATAATCATATTGTAACGGTAGAAGACGAAAAATTTTGTGAGAGGGCTGTATTTCGGTATCTCGATATAGCCAAATTATGTACACCTTATCTTCAAACGCATCATTTGTGCACACATCCTCCGTGTTGTAGTACATCTGGCCTCCCTTTATATTGTATTTCTTTGCGTTCCTTTCACGTTTCCCGTGCATCTTCGCAATACTGTTTCATTTGATTTCTCTGAATGACGTCAAAACTATCTCCCTGATATTTAATGATTTTATGCCAATGAATCTTATCAGTAGCACACGCTACAATATTTTAGTATTAATGACAGTCTGCCTTTGCCAGCAGGTAAAATGCTTTTTTAGTTGGTAGAATGAAGATTTCTAGCTCAGATGGTTGGTGTTTTGACAATACAGTTTTTTTTTCCTTACGTTCCCAGCGGAACATATGGCTCCATGCTAAAGGTCTGAAGTATCAGTAACAGCGGTGATTATTTATTTTTACGGGATGGGGTTGCAAGCATCACCTGGCCCAACCTACGCTCTTTACCAGTCTTACTACTACTACTACTACTACTACTACTACTGGCTTAGCGAGGTAAAGCAGTGCGTTGGCGGCCGGGGATATAACTCCGGACCACATGGGGCGTGGTTGGTGAGCATTCCACCGCTGTGCCACTGACGCTCTCATGATACAGTTACTTAGTGGTAAAAAATGTTCAAATATGAGAAAAGGTTATAATGGTCGTTCACTTCTACTGTTATATGAAACCAATGAAGGATAGTGAAGAGAAACTAATTAACAAAGAAGAGAAGCAAAGGAAATAATAGGCTAGTCAGTTTAGAGAACCTTTTGAAGTGACCACCACTTGCAAGTCGTCCAGAAATATACCAGCGACGTTCGCAGAAGTGACCGTGAACACCAGTTCACCAAAAAACAAAAGCAGAAGTCTTCAATGCCACCCATTTGGTTACTAAAAGCCAGCAAGTCCATACGAGATTCCTCTAGGAGCGCTCAAACTGGGATCCAGAGACCTCACGCCATCAATGCAGAACGTTTGGAAGGAAGGGAATGGGCATGTTTTGGACCAATGAAAAGACTTTAGAAGGCCTGGACATCGCGGATGATTTATATTTAATGTCACGACTTAAACTCGAAGACCTACAGGCGAAAACCCAATAAGCAGGCAGAGGAAACATAGAAGAATGGACTTCGAGTGAGTATAAAAAGGAAATGGTTGATGAAAATACCCACTCAGCTATAACAAGCATCAGTTACTATCAACAGGAGAAATCTAAACGTCTCTTGATTATCTTAACAGCATCGTTCCAACTACACATGGCACAAATCAGGAGGTTAAAGCTAACCAATATCGGAAAGGCAAGATATGTGTTCATTACTCTGAAATTCGGCGGAAGGGGGGGGGCAATCTGCTGTACTCAGCATAAGCAAAAAGATTAGAATTTTCACCATGAATGACAAACCGGTGTTTTTATGCGTTTCAGAGACTTGGTGTGCGTCATGGAAAGCATTTTGAAGAGGTCACTGCATACATTCATCAACAGCTTTCTTCACCCCATAAAAAAATAATATATTCTCATTTTTGTACATGTGAGGGACGCTACTTTACAGGCATCATCAATATGATAAATCATATATATTATTAGTAAGCATATTTAGTAATGATAGTATAATAAAGTACATATTTGATTGCATGGGGGATTTTATCATGAGCTGACATCAGTTAGAGAACCACTGGAAAACCTGTCAGAGAGTACTGCACAACTGTTTCGTCCTAGTTTGGGACTCTTCATCAGTACGAACCCACCGTGGTTCGAACCCAAGACCTTCTGGTCACAAGGCGAGCACGTAGACCATTGAGCCACTCAGACCCGAGCCAATGGTCCTTGAATTCTAACTTCTGCCAATTCATCACATAGCGCGGCCATTTCGCAGTGTCTTCTTCGATGAGTTACTGCATCATCCTCAACCTTCTGTATCCTACTGGTCACGGCTTCCCACTAGAGCCCCAGGTTAACTACCTGAATAGGGCCAGTCGCTAGTGAGTATCATGATGAAATCCTCCATGCAATCAAAACAAAATCTCTACAAAACCAATACTTGAAGAGTACATATTTATTCCTACCTATGTAGGACACACCAGTTGTACAGGCATGAATAAGTATTATTTAAATTACATAAATAGCCGTCATACCTACAACTTATTAAATAGTCAGTAGAAAAATTAGACCTCGTCTTTCCAACTCGTATCATTTATAGGTACGACGTTTTCTTTCTTTCTTTTCCTTTTCTCTCTCTTTTTTTCTGTTATGTGCTGCTTTGTTTCTTTCTTCCGCTTACGCCAGTAAATATGCTAGTTAGCATCTACTTTTCTAACACCTTCAAACACTCGGTTCAATTTTGGCTTTGCTACCGACATGCTAATAAGTTGTTCTCATAATGAACTGAGATTATCCTTAATCTGTGTAGAATTTTCTTTATTGATAATGCACTAACTGGATGCGCAAAACTGTAGTAAAATGCTGAGAATTCCATTCTGTATTTGCAAATACTGTTTTGGAATAAAGCTACCATTTGCCCAGGATCCTGTTTGTGTCAACGATAGCTTATTTAACAAAAGGCCCCTAGGTACAGAGTCAAAAGCAGATGTGTAGTCTAAGAAAGCACTACGAACATATTTAGCACCTTTGTCTAAACAAGAGACAACATTGTGATGTAAGACAACCGCAGCATCCAAGGTACTTCTACCATGTTTGTATGCAAATTGTTTAGGATCATTAAAAGGTTTCAAAGCGGGTTCAAGATGAAGTAAAAGTAATTTTTCCATCAATTTTAAAGAGGGAGAAGTAATTGCAATAGGCCTAAATTTAATATCAGTACCAGAAGATGGTTTTGGTATAGAGATAATTTTAATGTTTTTTCATGCAAAAGGTAGAACGTTACCGGAAAAAGAGGCATTAAAAATGTTAGTAAGAGGATAACACAAAATATCAGCACAATTCCTGAGGACAATGGCAGGTATGCCGTCGGGACCAAGGCTTTGAGAAGGCTTAAGAGACCGGAGACATTTAAGCACATCAAGGGTATTAAAACCACTAAAGTTATTGTCAATATGATTTGTATCATTTAGAAGGGTATCAACAGAAGAGCGTATGAAAGATTTATTAAGAGTGTCAACATTAAGAGATGGAACAGAAATACATCGCTTACCGTTAGTAATTTCTTTGAAAAGTTTCCATAAATTAGAAGGGGTTTTACATGACAAAAATCTTTCATTATATAAAACATTTAGTCTTTTCATTTCCAGTTTTATCAAAATGTTTAACTTTTTTACACCAGGCTTATCATTTGTTTTGAACAACAGTTCTTTAACTCTGCGTAGCTTTTTGAGATATGGCGTTAGCATTAACATAGCATTAACAAAAAGAAATAACCCAAGTAATGTGTTTGATGGATTACAAAAATACTTGGGGAATAAAAGTAAAGCTTGAAGTCGCTTCCCTCATATTACAATGAAATGCATCTTATAATATATATATATATATATATATATATATATATATATATATATATATATTCTCTTATTTATGTACATGAGGGACTCCAGTTAACAGGCATCATCAATATGATAATAATGTACACATGGAGTAAGCATGTTTACAATTTTTCACTGACACAGGATGTATATGTATAATACAAGGAAAGGTGTAATGGAGTAATGACAGCAAGCACACTTTTCATAAGTTAAAACAAATTAAATATAAATTATCCGCGAAGTTCAGAATAGTAAAAAAGGATAGGGTAATAAGCGTAACTAAGCGCCTGAAAAATAAAGTGGAAACGCATTGAACACACGCTAAGGAATCCACTCAGTAACACATTACACACCAGGCTCTCGATCGAGTGGAAGTCGAATAGGAAGAAGCAACAATTTGAGCATCAGTCGGAGGGTAACATGCAGGAGAGAGAACAAAAGCTTATGGGTGATCGGGGAGCCAGCTAAAGAGATGTGCAACTGAAACCTCATTATGGTCAATGCTACTGATAAGATTTATCAGTAGTATGTGTACAAAGAGATATTCATCGGCATAAAAACATCAAATATCAAGGAGATAGATTTGGCGTCATTCAGAGTAATCAAAATGACACAACAGCGTTGCGGAGATAGATATATGGGAGGCGTGAAAGAAACACAATACGAGGGAAGGTCAGAAGTAGGCAGGCACAACACAGAAGATGTGTACGCAAATGGTGCGTTGATGATAAGGTGTACATAATTCCGCTATATAGAAGTACCACTCTGAGCCTAAGGGAATAGTAAGAATAATAATAAAAAGGATACCAACATATCTAATAGTTCCATATTAGTTCGTTTATTAGATGTATCACACACTGAACGACGTTTCGAACAGAACTCGAACTTAGGACAGAAGTGTCACTTGACGACGTAATGCCGGGAGTTCAGCAGCTATGCCTGACTTCCATAGTATTTAAATTCCAAGTGAAAATATACAAACATACTGAGGGAGTTGCCATGGGATCACCAATATCCCGAATTGTAGCAGGTATATTCATGGATAGGTGGGAAAAGATAGCAACTGAAACGTTCAGCCCCACGCCAAAAGTATGGTGGAATTATGTAGATGACACATTCACTGTACTCAGAACACAAGATACAGATAGATTTTTCCAACACATCAACTCGAAGGTAGAGGCAATTCAATTCACTTATGAATTGAAAAGTCAGGAAGCAGGGGGAGATTCCAATGTTAGATTGCAACGTAAAAACGAAAGAAGATGGGAAATTAAACACACTAGTGTGTTTACAGGAAACCCACACATTCAAACAGATATTTGGACTTCCGATCATCCCATCCTATGTCAGTAAAAATAGGATTGGTGAACTCTTTAAGTGACAGAGCACAAAAACTAAGTAGTACCAAGGAAAATCTAAGACACGATGTGATACACATAAAAGAAGCCTTAAAACAAAACAATTTAGTTTATGTAATACCCTGCTGGAATGATTGTCAGGTCAAATACATAGGTCAAACTAGTAGAACAAGGGCATTCAGACTAGCTGAGTATAAAAGCCTAGCAAAATCTAGATTGGTTGACCTGAATAAGATGAGAAATCTAGAGAATACTTCAGCTATACCACTCACTACATGCAATTACACACAACCATACAATAGGGTGGGATGGGATAGGATGACAGTTTTAAAATCTAATGCAACTGACAGAGTGGAAGGGAAGATTGATAAAAACAGAAGCTTTGTTTATCGAATCAACCGAAGTGAATACGTGTAATAGGAATGATTCAACACCTGTCCCTGATATCTGGAAAATTCAACTGCGCTTAGGACAAATAGGAAATGTCAGCTGATGATGAAATCCTCCATGCAATCTAACAAAATCCCTACTTGAAAATTAATCTGATGCTCAATAGCGACTGGCCCTATTCAGGTAGTTAACCTGGGGCTCTAGTGGGAAGCCGTGACCAGTAGGGTACAGCAGGTTGAAGATGAGGTAGTAACTCATCGAAGAAGACACTGCGAAATGGTCGCGCTATGTCGTGAATTGGCAGAAGTTAGAATTCAAGGACCATTGGATCGGGTCCAAGTGGCTCAATGGTCTACGAGCTCGCCTTGTGGCCAGAAGGTCTTGGGTTCGAACCACGGTGGGTTCGTACTGATGAAGAGTCCCAAACTAGGACGAAACAGTTGTGCAGTACTCTCTGACAGGTTTTCCAGTGGTTCTCTAACTGATGTCAGCTCATGATTAAATCCTCCATTCAATCAAATAGGGGGGTACAAAGAAAACTATAAAACTCAAGTTTCAAAGTCGTGTGATTACAATTGTTATGATTATGAAGAATAAATTGTGTTCGAAACCTCGTCATCCAGTAAATAATACTGTTTCATTCACTGTGTGATACATCTAATAAACAAACTAATGTGGAATTACTTACTACCACAGCGCCCAAGTTTTACGCACATATATTAATATCTGTTAATTGCATAAATGCACTTTTTTACTGAACTTACTTATTACTACAATCTATTGAGTTATTTGAATTAGTATTCTCATTACACATGAATGATCCACAGGGAGTTGGATACAATTTATCTTCAAGAGTAGTAGTGCTGTATGCTGACAGCTGATCAGATTTATCCGTGACAGTGTTGTTACCAACTGTTGAATTGATAGACGATTTACTTGAAATGCTTGTTGTATTTTCAGAGAGATTTGATACACAATTACTTCTGGAATGATCAGGCAGTTGTCGACTTTTGATTGATTTCAATTTGTGAAAGTGCTTCTCAGCTTCAGCTGATAAAAGAAATATTAACAAATGGTTGATAATAGTTCTGATAGAAGTACAACAATTACTGAATTCAATCAAGCACATTCGGGTATGAAATTCACATATGAAGAGGAATCCCAGGACAGAATTAGTTGCCCTCCTGGATGTCCTACTTACAAGAAAGCCAGATGGTAGCATAAAAAGAAATTTGCCTAGAAAAGCGCTTGAACAGAACAATATACACATTTTCACAGCTTCTTTCCTATCAAGTACAAAAGAAATTTAGTGAAGACCCTCAGCCACAGAGTAAGTTAGAGCTATATGCTCAGAAGAAGTAATTAAAGATGAATTAAGTATTGTATGTGGTACTTTGATCGAAAATAGCTATCCTGAAAAATTTATCAAGAAACACATGGCAAAGAAAGCGGAAAAGGACCACTCACTATCTGTAAACAAGAAGCCTCTTTATATACGACTGCAATTCAAAGGCGATATACCAAGTGAGATAATTACGAGGAAATTAAGAAAATCAGTTCAAAGAACTTCTAATGCTGGCGAACTACACGTATTATTCTCTACACGACCGATGGTGATACCTCGACTGAAAGATGAAGTACCTACACTAGCTAGCCACTTCAAATTGTATCTACCAATTCAACAGCGCTTGTGGAGCGAGTTATATTGGGCGTTGCTCTATGAACTTGATTTCTCGTACTGGCTCGAGAACATCTCCCAGTATGGCTAAGTAAAGGTGTAGTGAAAACCATTAACAGTTCGATATTGGCCCATCTGGTGCGAACCGGCCTCAAAGCCAGCGTAGAGGAATCCTGCTCTATCATCTACCGAGTGCTTAATAAATTGCCAAAATCATCGAAGTACCCACCTCATCCTCCAAACAGTAGAGGCTATTCCAATTCGCCTCAAACAATTAGTGCTCTGTGTTAAAAACAAGCAAGTCCAGCCAGTCCCTACAACTGCCCTGACTGGCCTTCAGTAGAGACTATAAATTCATGAATTTGTAATATTATCTTTCCTAATTTGCTTGTCCGACATTCAGCTTATTTTATGTTGATGCTATTGAGCTGTAATCTATCAATGTGATTATTGATTCGATGTTATTTAAACAGCATTAATCTTTGTTGTTCATAACACTAATTCATTCATTCACTATAATGTATATATAACTGTAGAGCCTGATGATGAAGGGGTTATCGAAAAGAGTACTCTTTGTTCAGTATCCATTCTTTTGAAAAAATTAAATGGGCATTTTTAATCAGTTCAAATAAGGTAATTGTCAAGTATTGGTTTTGTTGGGATTTTTTGTTTGACTGGTTAGAGTATTTCATCATGAGCTGACATCAGTTAGAAAACCATTGGAAAACCAGCTGGGAGTACTGGACAGTAGATCTTAGAATTCATGCGCTACTGGATCGGGTCCCAGTGACTTAATGATCTACGAGCTAGTTCACATTATAACCAAAAGGTCCTGGGTTCAAATCCCTGTTGTGAGTGCGTACTGACGAAGAGCCCCAAACTAGGATGAAATGAGGTAATGAAATGCCTTCATGGTATTTTCAGAACACGAATAATTTAGATCAAAGGGTTTTGGAATAACTTCAGCGTAGACCTGGTTAGGAATCAACACCAGTTAGAGATTCTTGAAAACACGGAACACAGGACAGCTGTCTCAATTTAATCTGGGACTCCTCCTCACTGCACACTAACGATTACACCTGGCAGAGAACCTGAGACTTCCAGGATACGAGATCGATCTCGTTGACTATTCAGCTACTTGCACCGGAAATTCAATGGTCCATGATATACGGTTTCCTAAGAGGCAACACCTTTGACGAGCGGGCATCTACTTCATCTTGACATGGCTGGACATTCTGGTACAATCTCCAGCTGATAATGGTTCTTGAAGAAATCAGAACTCGTCAGTTTTTACAGTTATAAACAAAGTGAAGCGTGCTGATGAAGAGTCCGAAATGAGCTAGGACGAAACAGCTGTCCAGTACTCCCTGTGGCTGGTTTTCCAGTGGTTCTCCAACTGATGTCAGCTCATGGGGAAATCCTCCAACCAATCAAACTAAATTATATTTATACGAATCTGGAGATGGAGGTATCAGTGAAGAATACTGGACGAATCAATGAGATATGTTGGTATTTGCCAAATATGTGAACTTAGTTACACACACACACACAACAGATTTTTCGCGCATCAGGTCACCGGCTACACAATTATTATGTGATAGGGCTAACGTTACTACCAGTTAGCAGTGTAGTGTGATATAGATTGACAGGAAGCTACCAAAACTGAAATCAACATTTTAGGTCAATGGCTGGCTGCACAGGTAGAAGTGTTTATTCCTTGAAATCTGAATTTAGTTTACGTTGGGGACATGAAATAACCCTAATGGACAACTTGTTTCACTTTGAGCCAACGTTTGACTATGAAGGAAGTGAATATCCCCCAAAGAGATTTCAACCCAATGGTATCCCTGAGCTATTCAAACCTGAGAAGACATAGGTTTCTTCGTATTCGCAGATCCACCTTGCTGAGTGATGAACAGCGCCTCCGACAACCTAACACATCAGATCCATTTGTGGTGAGAGCAGGCTGCTAGCCAATTGATAGACATTAATTTACGTCAATGTCTATGTCGCTAATACTGGCCGTGAGAAAATATGAACAAGACCGATTCAACAATCAATCACAGCAGACTTAACGTGGGCAAATAGGATTCGCAGATATATGGCTTAACGTTCTGGGGAACCAGTCACAAGCAGTACAGAATAACCTTGAGCAAGAAACAACCAATCAGAAGACTGTGTTTGTCTGCTAATAATAATCTATATTAATGTACATGAAAATTTATAAATATGTGTTGATTTCCTTAGTAAACGATCTGTTTCCTGGCCCTTGTCTTCTGTTGTAACAATAGAACCATTAGAGAACCACCAGAGAGCACTGTACAGATAACTGTTTCGCCAGCCTAGTTTGGGACTCTTCATCAGTACGAACTCACCACAGCCATTTCACACACAGGACCTTCTGGTTACAAGGCGAGTGACCTCGGAGACCCGTTCCAATGGCCAGTTCATGAATTCCAACTTCTGCCAATTCACGACAAAGTGTGATCGCTAGCCAGTGTCTTCGGTGAGAGTATTTGTCCTCACAGACGACCTACTGCACCATGCACTGGTCACTACTTGTCACTTTCTATGATTTATCCCTGGACAAAAGTTTTGAAAAACGCGAATATACCATCAATTATGATGATGATTACCTTTCACTTTCTCGGATAAAATTATATCTTCTTTAATTTGACGTTGAAGACAGGCATTTTTACGTTCAGCATCTGAATACATACGTCTGCCTACAACTTGTCTCATTTGTCTAGCTTTACGTTCATACAGATTGTAGGCTTTTAATTCTACACTTTTAATAATATGAGGAAAACTGTATAGCGACAAAGCTTTAGCACGGTTTGATAAATTCATGAGATTCATTGTAGTTAATTCATCCTTCCTTTCATTAGTATTATTATTATTAGTAGTAGTAGTAGTAGTAGTAGTAGTAGTGTTACCATCTGTGGAGGTTATTTCAGTTATTGTACCTTCGGTTGTTCCTGAACTACGAGCAGATAACTTTGATCTATGATATCTTGACTAGATAAAAACAAAAGAGAGAATGAACATATTTACAGACAAGATACACACCTCGTTTTATTTTGTGGATTCTCTTCAACTGCATACATTCTACATAAATTAATTATGTTGGTTTGTAGGGATTTGATTGATTGCTTACAGGATTTCATCATGAGTTGATGCCGGTTAGAGAACCATTGGAAAAGCAGGTGGGAGTACTGGGCAGCTGTTTTCTCCTAGTTTGGGACTCTTCATTACTACGCACCCATCGGGGTTCGAACCCAGGAGATGAGACAGGTAGGTAGTTAGCTGATGTTCTAGTGGAAAGTCGGGACAAGTAGAGTACAGCAGGTCAAGCGTCCGCGCTATGTCGTGAATTGGTAGAAGTTGAAATTCATGGACTGGCCATTGGGTCCCAGTGGTTTAATGGTCTACGAGGTCGCTGGCCTCGTTACCAGAAGGTACCGGGTTCTAACCGGCTGTGGTGGGTTCGTACTGATGAAGAGTGCCGCACTAGGACAAAACAGCTGTCCAGTACTCCCAAGTGGTTTTTTCCAATGGTTCTCTAACCGATGTCAGTTCATGATGAAATCCTGTACACAAATCAATTATAAGTTACAAAATGGTGTCTGAACATATTTCTTTTAACAATGACTTCAAGTTATAGGCAAAGAGCATATGCAACGTAATTTCAAAGATGATGTAAGTAGGTAGACAATTATTTAGTGTTATAATGAGTGACTGTTCATAAAGTAATTAGACAAGGCGGTAGAGTTCAGATTTCGCTTAGAAACAAGGATGAACTAGAGACAAAATACAAGATAGAACAACAGAGTCAATTGATACATAATTATAATCAAAGGTCAAGTAAGATTATAAAATAGATAGAATAATTTAATTTAGTAGATACTTTAATAGTGAGTTCAACTCAGTGAAGATTGAGTTGGATGTTATGTGTATGCAACAGAGAGAAACACAAAAGCCCATGAACCAAACAGTTATGGTTACGAGGGTAATGAGAGATTAGTTACACTATCTTTCTGTGTACCTAGGTTGGGTCAAAGTCTTTTGATGGTGGCAATGGCTTCTGCAAACCGAAGTAATCTTCCTTTTCCTTTTTGTATTGATTATTTAACACTAAATAATTGTCTACCTACTTACATCATTTTTGAAATGATATTGCCTGTACTCTTTACACCTATAACTTGAAGTCATTGTTAAAAGAAGTATGTTTCGACACCATTCTGTGACTTATAATTGATTCTGTTTAGGATGTAAGCAGTTGACGAGAATTCATGAAATAAAGTATTGAAATTTCCCGCTAAAGACGACTAATCATTTGTCATAAATTGTAAAAAAGAAAATTTTGGACGTATATTCATTCCGTGATAGTATCTTTGATTTATTAGCCTTTTGATTACCCTGTAAATCACATTGTCCTGCTTTGTTTCAGTTATTTCGGTCTAGTTGGTTGAAATCTACTGGACTGGAATGTCACATGTTTATTGATATGTCTGTTATGACCGGAACTATGATCTAGCAGACTATGAACGAATACTAACTTTCATACGCTAGATAATCTGTCCTATTCGCACGCCAACAACAACAAGATAAATAATAATGCCGCCGGGTCACAAGACACAACAGAAGACTGCACGTTGATAAGAGAACATTTTACAGTGCCAAAACATTAGTCAAAAGAAGGTTGACAGTGCCTGTGTACACATATTTAAAATGACATTATTATTATTATTATTATTATATTCTTTAATTCTTAGAGGAACATAGGGCTTCAGCCACGCGTCTCCACTGCGTTCGGTTCTCTGCTACAGTTTTCACCTGGCTCCAAATCTGCTCACATGCTTTCATCTCCTCCTCTTCACATGACCTCCTCCAAGTCACCCTTGCATTGACGACCAACTCACCGCTTCCCTTTCGGGTTCCACTCGAGCAATGGCTTATCTAGTGCTGTCACTTGACGGTTTCCTCAGAGTATGGTCAATCCACCTCCATTTCTTCCTGCCTATTTGTTTCGCATTCGGTTCCTAGTTGGTTCGCTCCCAGAGATCTTTGTTGCTGTTCTTTTCTGGCCGGCCATCTGATCTTGAGTAGTGTTGAGCGAAGACAACTGTTAATGAAGGTCTGTAGTTTGTTTGAGATGCTCTTTATGAAGCGCCAAGTCTCTGATCCGTATAGTTAGTAGCACTGACTTCACATATGGGTTGGAAATCCGGATGTTATTGTTGATGATGAGTACTGTTGACCTCCACACAGAATTGACGTGAGTAATGAAAGCTTCTCTTGCTTTCCCGATTCTGGCTTTGATATCCTCGTCAGTTCCGTGCGCCTGTAGTTGAAACGATGCTCCCCAGCTAGGTAGGTAGGTAAAGGAGATTGTTTCTTTCAGGTTCCTCCCATTTATGCTGATTGTTGTCCGTTGTTGTTGCTGCTGTTTGTGTTGGCCAGGAATCTTCATCACCTCTGCTTTCACTATGTTCACCTGAAGTCCTATCTTTGATGCTTCTTCTTCTGTCGCCAACTTGTTGCTTTTTATTTGCATATCTTCCATTTTGCAGGAAATCAGACATATATCATCGGCAAAGTCCATTTTATGCCTGTTTCCTCATTGCCTGTTATCTGTCGCATTATTCAATCTACTGAAATCAGGAATATCATTGGTGATAGTAGACAGCCTTGCCTCACTCCCGTCCTCACTTCGAAGGATTCCGTAAGTTTCCCGTTGTGGATTACTTTGCATGCAGCATTGTTGTATAACTGTTGGATGAGATGTATAATTGTCGATGGCACCCCGTAGTAGCGAAGTAGTTTCCAAATGACCTCTCGATCGACGCTGTCGAAGGCCTTTTCAAAGTCGATGAAGTTGAGATAGACAGGTGACCTTGAGAAGCACTAATATCATTAATGAGTAAAGACAAAGAGCAACCAATAGGATTCCAAAGGTCATAAGTAGGGTGGGAGAAAATCAGGCCATAGGTCGATAAGTCAGGAGAGAAAAGTACAAACCAACATGTGAAAATGAGTTGTAGGAAACTAGGTCTGTATAAATCATTTTCGTTCTCAACGATAGTGTAGACGCATTCACTTTTTTATGTGATTTTCCATATTTATTTCTCCCCCCTCCCGTACCCCCATAGGCACATTTCTAACCATCAGTATAGTGCTTTTAAAGTATCAATGACGGTAAAAAGTTTGACCATTATGGAATAGATCAAATAGATTACAATACAGAGTTTCCTGGATTTCTAGTGCGAGGATGGATTTCCCACTGATGACATTGGTTGGTGATCACACTAAATCACAAACTGGTGGAAGTTAGAATCCATGGACTGGCCACTGGATCGATCGTAAGTTTGTAACATTAGTGAATAATCGTCTTCACATCTCCCAATTCTGTTGACTCTTCTGGTTATAATTTTTCATTACAATTTTCAAAAGTTCATCTGAAACATAATCACCAGTGAGCAATGCTAAGATTTATAATTCTTTAGTCGCAGCTAGCAGTGTAAAAATTCAATACTGGTCGTGAGAAAATGAGAACAAAGGCTTTGCGTAGGCGGATACAGTTGACATATAGATGATTTGACATTCAAGAAACAGCCACAAAGAGATGCAAGGTTAACTTTCTGTGAGAAATAACCAATCAGAAGACTGTGTTTTTCTGCTAACAATCATCTATGATAATACACATGAAAATCTATAAATATGTGTTGATTTTTTTAATAAACTATCTGTTTCCTGACTCTTGCCTTCTCTTGCTACAATACTACCGAAATATATAAATTAAACTGTCTTAATCTTAGACGGACAGTCAGAAATGAGTCCAACAGTTACCCAGAACTAATGAATACTACTAATTGGCAACAAGAAACTTTGGGAGCAAATCAACCAAGAACTTGTTGCTCAACAAATATTCTGAAGAAAATTGAGACGGGTCAGACACATTCTGACGAGACCGTCGAATGACATCGTGAGCCAGGCCATCACTCGAACGGAAACCGAATGGGAAATGACCATTTGGGCGTGGGTGCGAGAGTGATACGGGAAAGGTCCAGTGAGATCGCAGTGGGCACAGATGTGGCCAGTTGAAGAGGACTACGGGCAACAAGGCTAAGTGATGTACTGTCGAAGCCCTATGTGCCACTGGGAACCCAAGGGAACGAAAATAAAATTATAAAAAATGAATATTAATTAAAGTAGACTTCGTCAAAACAACGGACATCAGTTACACAGTTATTGAATACTAGGCAGAAGTGGATAGATATTTCGTCCTAACTTGAGAGTCTCGTCATCAGTACGCACTGACAGCTTCACCAAGGATCGAATCAATAACCTACTAAGACACCGGGTTGAAATCCACCGGATGACGAACTTTAAATTCTCCCCAACAGGTTTCACCACCGAGTACTTATCCTCTACTAATCTACTGGCCTGAAATTCTCATCACAATTCCAGAAAGTCCAACTGGCATTGAGTCACTAATGGGCGGCGGATTAATTTCAAAGCATAGTGTGGGAGAAATTTGCCTAATTTGAAAATCGGTCTTATCATATGAACCGCCAACAGTCCAATAAAGCAACGATATAAGTCACATTGAGGAATTGTACCCCATAATGAGTAGAAACTTTGCAACACTATACTTCAAAATTTCTGAACAAAAAATTACTTGCCAACTGTAAAAATTTATTTTAAGAGTACAGTTATGATGTCTGATCTCATCGATCGTGAAAATTTTTCAGACAACAAATAAACAAATGGAAGATGTGATAGTGAAGTCACTAACAGACTTTTGAGAAAATATAATCTAACTAGAATATATCGATAATATTTTTCACATATGCATACACATATAATCAATAGTTGAAGAAATCAAATTTATCTGTGAAGGTGATAAAATAAACATGAAAGATTCAGCTATACTGAAATGAAAACACAATGCACGTGAACATGAGAAAATCAATACACTCCAACAGAAGAAGCCTAGCTTTTAAGTCATTTTACTA